GTCAACAACTCCATGATAAGGTAATACAATCTATTAACAGTTTGAATGGAAAAATTAATAGTCGCTTATCATCAAATATTATGGCATGGCCTTAAGTAAGATAGATATACTTGTGAAGGACAAATAAAAAGTGTAACAAGTTACCGTAGCTGCTTGGGGGAAAACACCAAGTGCGTGATGCCCAACATTGTTATATAATGACAAGCACCACCGTTTCTTTGCACGAGGAGAGTAATATTCAGCCACAAATTTTCTCCAATAGGCAATAATATTATCCTGAAGCAAACAGAAAAATTCATTAAGAGTTGTAACTAATGCAGAACTTTAAAATACCTAAAGCATAAAACAATGCGCTCACATATAATTAAGCTCCTGAAACAAAAAGGAATAAACTTTAAAAAGAAAAAGAAAAATAAACAGACGACATAGTGAATATAGATTTGACACTAAGATGGGCCATCACATGCAGCAAATACACAGAACTCACATTTGGCCGCTGCCTTTGATGATAGAGATACTGCATCAATCGACGAGCACAAACCCCACTAACACCATTGTCACATGGGCGCTTGATAGCAGAAGAGGGCTGCATCACTTGTTGCTGTAATTGCTGCCTCAATTGCATTTGTTGTTGATGTTGTTGCTGCTGCTGCAAGTGCACTCGATGTAATTGGGGCGGCATTGACTGGAAGATTTGCTGTTGTCTCAGTCTCTGCTGTTGTTGATGTAAAGCCTGTAACTGTGGATTACGACCCTGCAGTTGCATGGAATCTTGTCTCTGAAGAATATGTTGTAGAACCTGCTGCTGCATTATATCTTCCTGTTTGATATCCAGTCTCGGTTTCTTTGACAGTTGTGACACATTATTTGGATCATGAATGAAAGATCCTGGGACTTGTGCACCCATATTGAGCGACGATGGGCCAGTTTGTGATGCAGGCAACGATGTAGCACTTGAAGCACCCCGCAGCTGCTGCTGATTCTGCTGCAATTGTTGAGCATTCTGATCTTGATGAGAGCTCTGTTGCACTACAGAAGAACCATCAATCCCCGATGAGCCAGAAATACTAATATTATTTGATGTAAATGACATGGGTGAGGCAGGTAAACGTAAGTATGAGTCCGTGTTAACACTGGCACTTCTCTGTAAATGGGGGCCACCAGAGAGGGCAGAATTTGCATCTGTGACTAAAGAACTAGCTCCAACACTTGGTGCTGAGTTTGCCACACTGTTCAAAACAGCATTATTTATATCCCCAGAAACTGGACCCAGGTTTGATCGACCAGCTCCCGGAACTGTGTTACACGAGTTAACAATAGATGAGCTTAAGTGAGTGTTAACTAGACTCTGTGACTGCCCATCTCCTTGAAAGAAAATTCCAGAATGTGATGATGATTGGGTTAACCCTCCTGTCACCCGCGAAGGTGTCATGGGAGGCAACCCCTCCTGGTGACTGAAGTCTATGTAGCTCTCCAGAGCCAAGCCTACTGTTATTTAAAATAATCTCATATAGCTCATGAACTCATCGTAACAGACAGATTAGTGTGAACCTCTAATAGTATTAATGCTACCTATTATTAAATCTCCAACTATTCCACAACCTTTTACCAAACCCACCAACTCCCATTCAACCAAATGCACCCAGAATTGTTCTTCCTTCTGAACACTGGACAATCGCTGAGTTAAATCTAACAACTGCAAAGAAAAAAAATAACACATAAATATTCATTAGGACAAGGAAAACCTGAGCTAAAACAGATAAAATCGACCAAACACGCCCTGGTTTACAGGCACAATTGTTAAAAACATGCCCGTTAATTGATCAACACCCTTTTCTAGAAAGAAAAATCAGAATCCCACAACCTCACACCCCAAATCCTAATTCTAAGAGTTTTCCCTGCTCTTAATAGAGGGGTTCGCTTCAAAGAGAGAAGTGAGGTAACAGGTAATAAATCCATTCGCTTTTTTTTTTTTTTTATCAGAGATATGCCTACTCACTTTTCCATCTAAAGTGAGTCAAAACCCAAATCCATGAAAAGATCAATATCATACTCAAAAACAAAATCAAAAACTCTAAATTCACACATTCAAGAGCCCTAAACCCAGCATAAAACTCAACAACATAACAAAGGAACAGAAAAGAACAAACTAGAACCCCAATTCTATACCTGACATGCACAATTACCGGCAACCATCAACAGAGAAGCAATCAAAATTCAAAAATGTTCCCCAAACAACAGAAAACGCAAACCTTAAACCTTACACCACAGAAATTAAAACAACAAAAAGCAAATAAATTATAATTCTCTCCTCGAGTTTAAAATACAAAAAAAAAAAAAAAACAAATATTCACTTCAAGATCGATCAGTAGCTGAAAAAGTGAAAACCCCCAATGAAGCTTTCAAAACAGTTCAGTGCCAAGACGAATTCTTTAGAACTACTCACAGCGAAACCGCGAGGGGTGGGGGGAGAAAGCGAACGGAAGCTCACTGAATTGAAATAGCAGAGAATAAGAAAGAAAAAAAAGAAAAAAGCTATGAAAATTGGAGAGAAAAGAGTTTATAACCAGGTGGGAGTGACCGGTAAACCGATCACGCGCTATCTTTCACCTGCAGTGGCAGGTTACGATTCAGACACGCGTCGCGAAAGTGAATGTGGTGATTAGTCGGTGATAGATCCGCAGCCGCTTCAAGATGCATTGCTGACGTGGCAAGGTTTAATTGGAATAAGTTTTGTAGCACGAGAGAAACTGTGTGTAGATAATTTCACTCCGCATCCATTCCTTTGGTTCTAATGGATTTGGAGTCTAAAAGTAGTTTAGTGTCTTATCTTTGACGCTCATATATTTGGATCCAATTTTAGAAAAAAAAATCTAAATTTATACTTTTTAATCATTTGAATTGGTTTAATTTTTTTTAAAATAAAAAATTAAATTAAAGAAAAACAACTTATTTGATTTAGATAAATTAATCATATATAAAAAAATTTGAATAACGAAATAATATAATTTTATTCAAAAGTTATATAAGTCATTCTACCAATATCAATTAAATAATTATAAAAATTATAAATATATATATATATATATATATAACAACTAATATTAAGAGAAATAATTATACATTATTGAGTTGACTGTGATTTATTGATTTTCTAAATAATAAATTAGATACTCAAGTGAACAATCTCTAGATGTAATTGGTTTTTATTTTATTTGAATATGATTAAACTAAAAATATAAACCCATTAACTTTAACTGATTTTATTTTAATTATAATATTATAGACTTTTCTTTCATTTTTGAAAATTTTTAATCTTGTATATTTTTATAAATCATTTTTTATTTTTATAGTTTACTTTATATTACATTTTTTAGTTTTAATTTAAAATGTAATATATTTTGTTCTGTATTCAACAATTAAAATATCATTGTATATTCCTAAATAAAATATATAAAATAAAATTATATATTATGATTTTATTTTTTAAACCTAATCTTCTTTTGGGATTTGTTTTCAGTTTTTTATTTTTTGTTTACTAAATTTAATAATTTTAAAATTAATAGATATTTATTCATTTCAATCTAAATAATAATAGAAGTAAAAACTAAATAAATATAAAGATTAATATATATTTATTTTTACTTTTTATAATATAATTAATAAATTAATTTATAAAAAATATTTGTTCTTTTTTAAAATTTATCAATTACATATTTTATGTCATTTTCCTCTTTTTAAAACGCTCTTAATTATAATTTTTTTATCTTAAATATATTATTTTAAATTATATAAAAAATATATTTTTTTAAATAATAATAAAAATGCGGACATGAACTTATATTTCCGCTGGTATATATAATATAATTTCAATGTTACATTATTATTTTTATTAAACAGCTTAATTATTTTGATAAAAAAACTATTTAACCTATAAAATATAAATTAATAAATTCTTATTTATATTTTATTTATTAAATTCAATTATATTCCTCAGATTTGAATCTTTGTTGTTAATTTTCTATGAATCATGATCCTGTGAGGTGGTACTAGATCACATTCTGCTACACTATGACGTTTTCAAGGTACATATGATATTTAACAATTTTACACAATGATTCTCTGCAGTACGATCTATGGAATGTTGAAATCTGATTGGACAATTGAAAAGGGTGTATTTGTTGTAAAATTGGCACGGATGTATTTTAGTATTAAGATTTTTCTGGCATAAGTTTTTTTTTTTTTTTACTAATACCATAGGTGGTTAATAGATAGTGACGTCAATAAGAATATTAGCACGTGCAAGATGTGGCTAGTGTAACACTATCAATATAAAAAGCAAGATAATTGAATTTTGTTGGCTTAAATTTTAATATAATTTTATATTTAACATTTTTTTTACTTTAATTGAATTTTATATCTAACATATTCGTTTTTTAATTTAAGATGTTGTAGAAATATAATAAACATATGCAAAAGGGAAAAAGTGAAGTTAAAAAAATATAAGAACTAAAATCATGAAAAAAAATGGCAAATTAAGTAATTTGATTTCAAAGAATGAGTTTAAGAAGAGTTTGTCCAAACATTTGCAAGAAAACCAGATTTAAAGAACATATAACAAAGAATGAGAACTAAAGTTGGTATTATAATTACAATCATGCAATGTAATTCCCTATTTCCTAATCTAATTGAGTTCCTGGTTAATGCTCAATTACTAACTTCTCTTAAGTTAGTTTAAAGGTCATAATCAAACACTTCTAACTATCTTTCCCCATTTCAATTCCTATTATTTGGTTAGCTAGGTTTCAAATTTAGGAAAAGTATATAAACTCAAAGAAATTTTAATATGGTAAAAGAACCATTGAAATATGTTTTGTGGTTCAATATATTTAACATGGTTCATTTATTCTACAAATTCAAATGTTTACAAAATACGGAGAGGTTAACATTTCAGCCTACAAACTCTGCTTAGACAAACATTATCCATAAACAAAAGAAACATGAACAGCATAGCCACAATCTGTTTCAAACCCTGTGTTCCTTCCCCAAAACTATGTCCCAAAACCAGCTTCAGAAAATTCCCTCTAACAACAATACCTCGTTCCAGTCTTCAAGATTCTCAACCACCAAACTCAACCCAACAACAACAACTCAACCTCTCCGTTCTTCGCTTCACATTGGGTCGCTTCCCCTCCTCTCTATCTAAACACAATAAGTAACATTAATTAACAACTATGGGTAAATGGTTAAAAAGAATCATCTTTAATCATTAATGTGTATTTATATGGTCAATATTTGGCATAAAACTTAAAGGAATCAATTTTAGCTATCCATTTTTGCGTTTGTGTTCATTGGTGTTTTGTTGCTTTGCTTCCAGGGATACCTGGATTGGATGAATCCTACTTGCCCAGGTGGATTGGTTATGGCTTTGGTTCGCTTCTCCTCTTGAATCACTTTATTGGGAGTGATGCAGTCGCTGTTACACCGGCTCAGCTTGTAAGAAGAATTAAAGCTGAAAACTGCATTTTTGCTTTGTATTTGGGCAAGTTTATTTATTTATCTGGGGTGTGGTTCAATTGTTGTGTTATTCTTTGTTATGCAGAGCACTGAGGTTTTGGGTCTGTCTTTGGCTTCCTTCTCAATTGTGCTGCCCTACCTAGGTAAATTTCTCAAGGTAACTAACTAACTAACTTACTTTATTCTCTATTATTGTAGAATTACTTCAATTATCCACCCCGAATACAATAAATAAACTCAGTTAGACTTGGAGACATATGTGGAGATCCATAAATTCAACAAGGGTTTCACTTTCAAGAAGACTACTCTTCCTTTTTATTGTGTATAACAATTACATAACTCTACTTTTGTTCTCGATATTGTGGAAAATTACTGATAAATGCAGCTGTATTTTCCGTTGCAGAGACTTTAAAAACCTTGATGTTGAGGCCACAATTGTAGTAGTTGTGGACCCTTTTTTAAATATTGCTTTTTGCATATAAGTGGAGTTCAAATATTATGTTTTTCATGTAAGATATGGATCCTCAACCAAGTGTGGGAAATTGTTAGGGTACTCAACCAGTGGATGAAAAGACTATACCAGATGGTACCGAGCAGATATTTGTCATGTCAACAGAGATAGTGAATGGCCTGAAGGAAGATCTGGCTTGGGCATCATATGTTCTGTTGCGTAATACAAATGCCATAGCTATGGTATGTCTCATAGATTATCATTATTAATTTAAAGAAACACATGGTAGGTTGACTGCTGCTGGGGTTCATCATATGTAGGTTTCCTATAAGTACCACTTTAAGCTCTCATTGACCCTTATGGAATACCCTAACCTTGGAATTCCACAATCTTCTCTCCCCCTAAACATTGTAAATGAAAAACCAAAAGCATATGGTAGGTTTGCCCCAAAGTGAAGAAAAAGAAAAGGCCAAATGGGACAATGATATTGATGGTTGTAATAATCATACAATAATATTTGTTGTGTTTATTTGAATTATATAGGTGAAATTTTGAAATTATTAGTTCAAAAGGTAAAATTGTCAAGTAATGAATGTGTAAATTGCTCGCCATTTCTGCTAGAGTATATGTATTATGCATCATTCCTCAGTGTACTGAGCTGACAGGTTATTAGGACTGGTTAGATTGTCAGAAGTTAGCTAACTGGTACAGTTAGATGTTTATATTGTAGTTGAAGTTTACAAGTTGTGATGATAAGTATAGACAGCAAGTTCTATGCTTATTCATCAGTTCAATTCAATGTTACAATTCTTCTTCTACCAAATTTTTTCACTAACTCAATCTGTTCAGCTAATTTTTATTCAAGGACAAATATGTACAAGGGGATACTGGAACATACCAGATGATACATCAAAAGAAATTCTTCCGGGTTGGTTTAAGAAAAAAATTGAAAAAGCTGGCCTGTACGATCTGAAAGACACCCTATATTTTCCTCAAGACGCAGGTATTGAAATTCTTTTTTAGTTTTGGTTAAGCACATGGAAGTAGCTTGTTTTTCAGGTTAAGTCCTCTAGGAGCTAGAAAAGCATCTGCACATTCAATTGATTATTTTAATTGACCAGAACTAGAATAGACGTCCCATTAAAATTTCAAACTAAATTATGTGGTTGGAGAAATCTTTTTACCAAAAGACTAGATCCCAATACAGATGGGTCTGGCACTAGCATGTTTTATGAAGTGTTTCCTTTATCTTGAAAGGTTTTTGACCAAATTCTTGAAAATTATGATCATGAAGCCCTTCCAACCTGCTCATTGACCGGAAAAGGACACCTGATCTTATGTTAAAATAAATAGTGATGCCTATTGTTGGATGGAGGATATATATGCTACAGTTCTATTTTATGCTTGAGCTTTTTCCTGACTTTCCACGTTCGTTTACTTACAGATTTAACAAAAATATCAGGAACTGAAAATTTTCATTATTAAGATATTGGACGCCATATGGAAACTAATGCATAAATTGTGGAACTTTGAGACTGTTTATTAAGAGATACGTGTATTGTTTTGTTTTGTTATTACGAGGGTTTTTTAGCTGACTTGGCCGAGTCCAAGAAAAAGAAATACTCAATTGTATATAAGGTACAGTTAATAATATTAGAAATGAATGTCTGAACTTATTAATTGAATACTTACTGGCACGAAGCTCTCTTCATTTTAAACATTACATGGTTTTGTATTTTTGTTCAAAAATCTGAAAGTTTGATGAATGCTTCAGATTCTGAATTTCAGGATCTGGTACCTACAGGCACTCGCTGTCTTCTGATCCAACCAGTCTTACATGCTTCTAATGAGAGTGATAGTGGCTTGCAAAAACCTGATGGATTCATTCTGTTGGCCTCAACTACAAGGTATGCATTTAGCAATAAAGACAAAGCCTGGATTGCAGCCGTGGCAAACAAATTTAGAGGTAATGGCATTAGCATGTTTGAAGATTTATAGAAGACTTTTACACCTCATCTGTTAATAATCAAGTCTGAATTCTTTAGGGGGCTTCTTTCTTCCTATATAACTGTGTGCGTGTAGTGCAGCTTTATTGTTGGAGTGGCTAGTGGTTTTTTATTTTGATGTGTATGTGAAACTGAAATAAATGGTCTATAGCATATTAACAACCTTCTGTGGGAATGATTCAAAGGATTTGAATGTTCCACACAATATGATTTTTAACTTTATAATTTAATTGATTTGTAGATTGTAAGATATATATGAAAATCATTGGTTTGTTTAGAACTCATATTCTTATCTTCCTCCGTTGTTATGTGCTTGAGTGTTAAGATGAAATATTTGCAACCTGAAGAAGTAGCCTATAACATATTGGCAACTTCTGAGAGAACAATTCCAAGCATTTGAACAATCCTTAACATATGTTTTTTAATATTGAGTTATTTAGTCGATTTGTAGATTCAACGATCTAAAGGAAGCATTATGAAAATCATTGGCTTGTTTACAACTCAGCTCAGTCTTATCTTCCTTAATTTAGCATATATGTGTCTATTTTATATTAATATTTTGCTGTTAATAAGCACAACGTGCTGTTTATCAAAGACTAAAGAAGACATAAACATAATATAATTCAATAATAGAACATGTTCATACTTTTTGACAACCTTTACTGTTGAAAGGTTTTGAATACTTCAATCAATTACCATGTTATATGTGTGGTTGAGATCAAGCTTAACTTGATTTAGAAAATTGAATCACATATGATATACAATGCCATTGTAAACTATTTATGATACAGGTAGGGTGGGTCTAACCATCTGATTACCTAAGGCAATGCGAGAGTATATCCGTACTACAACAAAGAAATTGAAGCATTAAAATCTGTGGTACAGGATTTAACAGCTCAAAGTCAAGGCTTTCTTGGTTAAATTAAAGGAAGAAATTAGGAAATTGAAGACTCAAGTGTAATATTTGAAGGATGAGGCTGATCTGTAGGATGAGGATTGGAGGTCACACAATGGCAGTTTTTGGACCATGAACATTACCCGCAGATTTTGGAAAAGTTGGTGTACTGAATCAATGGGGGCATCTCAAATTTGAAAAATTGTCGTTCCTCTTTGATACCATATCTAATCTATTTAGATGAGTTTCTCCATAAGTTCCCTCAAAGAAAAATAAGAGAAAACATTTTAAAATTAAGTTTTCCATTATTCATAAGTTAAAATTAACTTAATGTATAAGTTAAAAATTGATAGTAGATTTCAATTTTTTTCATTTATTTTCTATGCTAAAAGGAGTTTATAGGGAAGTTCGTGTAAATATCTATCTACTCTTGACCAATATCTTTTATATGGATTTACAAGAATTTTGGGATGTATATGAGTATATCTTTCTCTAAGAGTTACCATGTAGATGACTTGAGAGATTGGAGTTAGCCATGTCAATTTTAAGTCTCATACTAGTTTTACTCTATACTCTATAAATAAAGTTATAAACTGTCTTTAATTTACAATGAAAGATCCTAAAAAAGTTCAAATTCTATTAATTTTTTTTTTTTGAACTTTGAATTTTTATGACTCATGGGTTAGTAGATTAAAGTATGATATCATAGTTTTTAAAAGAAATGCGATATATGTTAAGAAAGTGTTTTAGGATTCATATTTATGAGCATCTCACTACTCCCAAGTTTCATGTTTTTTCATCTAATCCAACGCTTGAGGCTTTTGTTGCAGCAACATTGCTCCTATGAAAAGGTTGGTGCAACAGACACCCCAACATTAAAATAAATTTAATGCCGCATAGGAAGAACAGGCCTAGGGCCAAGTTACATCAGAAAACTTGGAAGTTGGAACCATAACAAAATTGACCACAAACTATTAAGAGAACGTAGAAATATATAAGATCTGGGAAACTCTGATGTCTCTCTTCTTGGCCTCTACTAGCACAACGTAGATAACGCTGCTACCATTAAATATGATTCAGACCAGGCAACTCACGCGTTTTCATGCCAAATTATTTTGCCTATTTAAGAATGGATCATTATATAACAACATAGGAGGAAGATGTACGTAATAGTATCAAAACTGACCTTAAATATACCTTTGTAGGTTTTAAGAATACATCCTGTTTTCTAGTGCGTGAGATGGACCATGTTGACGTATCTAGGTGAAGTAGGAACTAAAATTGAACTTCCATGGATAAGTGAGACTTTTGAGGAAACTACCCATATGAGATCATTTCAATTTTGTGGGTTATCTGTGAAGGTTATATTGTGAAAAATTGGTGGATATATATTTCAAATTGGTTATATATAATTTTTTTAATATATACATTTTTTTCTTCTGGTTTTCACTTTTACAAGAACAGTGCAAACAAATTTTGCCAACTAATTGAAGTTGCTAGAGACAAGTCTAACTTGTTTTTGGTTGTCATGTACTCAGGAGTGTCATTGAAACCATCAAATGAATAGCAACTGCTACCTTGGAGTGCCGAATTGCAGCATTCAAGACATAACAGATGACAGAAGAGGTGATTAAATAATGCTAAGTTTGTGAGTACTACTTCACATTAACTGATATAGAGAACCCTAAGTCCCAAACCCATATATAGCATGTAGTTCATTATTGCCATTTCTTGGGACACCCCTCATGTCACAGTCACACACCCAGTAGAATTCAATCCTAATTGCATTAAAGACAACTGGAACAAGTTGGTTTGGTTTTATTGCATACCAATTGACCCAATTTTTAGATCAGCTTCTAACTTCATGACAGCTTTAAAATTGTAAAATTTACTACCAATTTACTTTAATTTATATGAGAATTTTGATTCATTTTTTCACTTCAATGTCATCGCTTCTACCAAACTCCTCTTCATTCCAACATTATAAGAATCCACTGCTCCATCTACCTCATTCCTTTGAGCCACAGCTACCCCAATTTCATTGTCTGCTTCATTTATTGCAATCAGTTTCCCAAAGGGATGCATAGGGCATGGAGCACATATGTTAGCAATGAATCAAAGCAGAATAGTGAAAATGCATACATATCTTGTTAAGCAGGAACCGAAATTCTTGGATATATGGCATATGCCCCCTCTGTTTTTTTTTTTAAGGACTTTTATATGAATTGATTGAACTTTATTGTGAGGATTTTGCTCCAGGGATTCGGACAAAATGTTTGGCACACTTGCCTTGAAGCAGATGCAAAGTGGTCCATGTATGATGATATGTGAAAAAAACCAATGAAGCAGCCATGTGGCCCTGCCACTACTATTGGTAAAACATGTGAAGTGAGTAGTCAAATATCAAATATCAATGTCATGCCAGAAATTAAGAGAAAAAACAGGGCGACAAATACTATACACAAGACATTGAAGGGGAAGAAACAAAAATTATTCAAAGTTCTGCAGAATCTGGCACCTCCTTGAGATAAAATATTTTGCTGACTTTAAGTGAAGACATTGTATTTTACACACAACTTGTCACCATTTGTTTTTATAGGTGAGCTGAAGTATTATCTTTTGAGAGTTTGAAGATTATTAGTCCCTTACAGTCGAACATATATCAAGAAAAATGATTATCTATCAATTATATTATAGCATATTAATACTTGTTAATTGTCTTGATTTATGAATACTGTTAGTTCATTTAAGGGACTAACATCATCTTTTAAAATATGTTATCTTATATACACGAATCTGGTACTAACTCTTCACCATGTTTAAAAGATATGCTCAATGGATTAACTTCTTACAAAAGATGTTCTTCTGAGATAAAATCCTTAATCACATACTAACTGACATGATTGATTATCTGTAAATCATATTGCATCATGTCGCGATGATATGTGAATGCAGTTAATTCTCTCATAAGAATGATTTTGTATACAAGAACATGAAATCAAACCTATGATTATATATTTAGGAGTAATGATTATCCAACAATCATATTATATGTTTCATGATTTGTGAACACAACGAACTTGAAGACACTTGAACATTGGAATCTCGAACTGTTACAAAGCGTGTTTTCCGAACATGGTCATTGGGAAACTGTTACATGCTTGAAGAAATGGAAACACCATGGTATTAGTATAATGTCTAAAGGGAATGTTCTTACACGTTACTCATGATGGCCATTGGAATCACCATTTCCGACATTGATAACCAAACACGAAGGGTGGGCTCACCGTGCTTTTGTGCACACTTTGAGTACGAATCCAGTTTCTCATAGATCCCACGATTCTTCTCTGTAAGTCATCAAAATATATATGCCACTAGTGCTTATTTTGGTCTTCCAAAGATGCATATACCATCACGTTATGCATGCTTGGAAATAATTAATATATTTTTGATAGAAAAGAAACTTATGGTGTCAATCATTTTTTACCTATGTATGATCTTATGATATGGATCAATCATGAAAGTCAAAATTGGAATAAAAATAAAGAATGTATCTATTTGTGATGTTTAAATGGTCACCTCTACATTTTAATGTGCTAGAAATAAAAAAGTTGAAGAAAGAGATATCCTCAATTTAATAATAAATCTAAACCTTCACACCATAAAAGGAAAAAAAAAAAAAAAGTCCATGCTATCTCGATTTGAGAATGAGTTGGTGCAGAACGTGGTTATTGTATATGGCAATCATAATCTTCCTTCTACCATTACATAATACCCAAATTTTCAAGGGCTCCATCAACATTAAAATTGAAAATATACTTTACATTAGGTCAATGGTCAATTTTTCCATTATTGTTTTTTTTTTTCACATGCATTTCTACAATAAATTTAATTTAATCTTGTTTGTAATATAATTAAATTTTAAATATAAATTTTTTTTTCCAAGAGATTTAAACAGTGTTGTAGTGGTTAACTTACCATGTTAAAGTTTTTAAAACATGAAAAAGTGGGAATGTGCCTCACTATTTAATTAGATCAAAAGTAAAGTTTTGATTCTTAAACTATACCTTCTAACAAAAAGGCGCAAAAGAAGGAAACATCACGTGTAAATATGAACTTATTTAATAATAATAAAAAATCTATAAATATTTATCAAATACGTTTACTTGTTTAGAAATTGATCTTAAAAATAATTCATATATTTTTTTAAATAAAATTATGATAAATTAAAATTTTAAAATAAATAATATTTTAAATATGAAAATTAATTTAATGATATTATTATAACATATGTCGGAAGATCAAACTTTGATGATTTTAAAATTTTTTGTTTTCACCTAAAGTTAAAAAATTAGGTTAATGTTAAAATTAATCTTTAGGTTAATGTAAAACTATTAATTTAATTTTAAATATATAAATTAAATTATTCTATAATATGTGATAATATAATTTTATTTTTAAAAATATATTTTAATAATAAATAATTTCATAAAAATTATTAATAAAATGTAATTACAGAACTCATTATATAATAAAAATAAAATAAATATTTTATTTTAAAGAAACTAAATAAACAACGTGTAATATATTTAAGAACTAGTATAATAATTTTTAAATAATTATTTTTCTTTCACAAGGAAATACACGATTTTTCACTTTGGTTATCACCATCTAGATGAAACTTGAAAGAGCACAAGTATTTTTCCTCAATATATGATAGGAATTTTTTTTTTTACATATATATATAATAAGAAAAATGAATTTTAAAATTATTATTATAAAAATATAATATAATATAATAATACACGTGGATAACCATATAAAACTGTTTGTTCATTGTATGGTAAACTTTTAAATATGATTAGAAAATAACACTGAAAAGGATAATTTTAAAAGCAAAATAATTTACAGAGTAATTGTTTTAAGACAAATTATGTCTGACTAAGACTAAGTCAAAGTGATCTAAAAGAAAAAATTAAATTACAATTTGATGAATGGGTGATGAAATGCTTAATTTTATTAGTTGGGCACAAGAAACAAAAGAATAAGTGATAATATGATTTGTTTAAAGACAATTATTAAAAACATAATTAATTATTAATTAAATGCAATGTATATATGAACATGACATAGGGTCAGCATAGTTAGCTGGCCACTCGTTTTTATATTCCTTTTTTCTTCTATTTTCATTTCACCATTTTCTTCTTTCTCCCACTTCTCCAGAACTCCAAGGAGAATCAGTTCCTCCTTGTTCCAATTCTTCACTCTCTTCCTTCTCATCCTTCCTTAACCTCTTCTCCTCTATCCCTTCAGAAACAAAAATTAAAAAAAGAAAAGAAAAAGTACAGTAGCAGACTATTCTAGCTTTTCATTTTTTTATCGTTCAAGACTATGCTCTTAAAGTCTGAAACTAACAGTTTCAGCCGCATTTCGGTTTAAAGATCTGCAGCGTTGACCCTTGGAAGGTTCAGCTTTTGAAGGGGTTGGAGTTGTTTTTCATCATAAGCCATTGATTAGTCAAAGTCTCTCTCTTGTTGTGTAATGGTCAGAGATTTCTGGGACATGTTCTTGCAGAATTTTGGTGAATTGGGTCAGTATAGTGTCTGTCATGGGTTGTAGAGAATCTGAGTCCTCTGAGATCTAAGTCTCTCTTGTCTTCTGTTCCTCACAGACCCTTTTGTTGCATAGTGGTGAAAGTGAAAGAGTGAGAGAAGATGATGAAGATGAAAAATAATTATAGTAGTAATAATCATAACACAAATGGTCTTTCTTCAATCATGAATCGAGGTTCAGATGGTGGTAGAGTTGATTCTAGTTCAAAGGAATGGGAGATGAGGCCTGGTGGAATGCTGGTCCAGATGAGAACCTCTGAATCGGATCGGAACTCAGTGTTTGTTCCCACCATTAGAGTTAGGGTCAAGTATGGTTCAATTTACCATGAAGTCAACATAAGTTCCCAAGCTACATTCGGTAACTCTTCACTTTTTTCGGTTTTAATGTTATTTATTTCCCTTTATGTTCTCTCTCTGTCGGTTGTCTTCACCTTTTTCTTGTTGGACAAAACTTGTTACCTATTTACTGTGTTTTTATTCTTCTTTCAGAATTTGATTTTTAGTATTCCTTTTTGTCCTTCATTATTTGGTTACATCGGTTATGGTGTGTGTTTAATTTCTGGGTTTGCAGGGGAGTTAAAGAAAATGCTATCGGGGCTAACTGGGTTACACCATCAAGACCAAAAGCTGTTCTACAAAGACAAGGAGAGGGACTCAAAGGTTTTTCTTGACATGGTTGGGGTCAAGGATAAATCCAAGATAGTGCTTGTGGAAGACCCTATTAGTCAAGAGAAGAGGTTGTTGGAGACAAGGAAGAACGCTAAGATGGAGAAAGTTGCGAAATCGATCTCTGAAATCAGCTTGGAAGTAGATAGGCTGGCAGGGAGGGTATGTATTATGGTTGCTATTGATATTCATCTTCTTACTACTATTTTTGAATTTTTCATATTCATTTCCAAACACACAATAATGAGTGAGGTGAGACTGTATTAAATAAATGGTTGTGTAGTTGGAAGCTGATTAGAGATTGGAATTGGTTAGGTATCAGCCTTTGAGTCAATTATTAACAAAGGTGGAAGAGTTGCGGAAACAGATGTGCCTAATCTTATTGAGTTATTGATGAATCAATTGCTTAAATTAGATGGCATAATGGCTGAAGGGGATGTGAAATTACAGAGGAAAATACAGGTAATGCTAGATACTTGGATGCATTTTACTCATTTTGTGTTATCAGTGTATCTCTACTTGCATTTGTTTGTGCACCCCAGGTTCTAATGGTTGTGAAACATTACTTTTGAAGGTAAAAAGAGTTCAAAAGTATGTTGAAACTCTGGATTTGTTGAAGGTTAAGAATTCCATGCCTAGTAGCAATGGAGACCATGCTCCAGTGAAGCCTCAACAGAAGCATTCAAACGGGCAAAGGCTGGGACCAGTTTTGGAGCAACAACAAAAGCATTCAAATGGACATAATAGGTTAGTCTTAGCACCAATTCAGGAGCAGCAGCAAGAACAACCGAGGAATTCAAATGAAAATTTTCTAGAACTATACCATGAACAACAGCATCAACCCTTAAGGAATTCCACCTCAGGAGTTGTAGTTACAACAAATTGGGAATTGTTTGAGTTTGCCCCACCATTAATCCCTGTTCCATCCACATCACCTCCCCCACCGCCCCCAGTGACCAATAGTTCAGGTCCTCCCAAGTTCAATTGGGAATTCTTCAACTAACTACCATACCATGTGCTTTCACTTGTGTGGTTGTGATTTGGGTTTGTCTTTCACTTTGAGTGTTCTAAGTTTTACATTCTTTTCTGTATTTAGATTTGTTTTTCAGGCCCCTATAATCTGTCATTTATACTTTTAAAATAAATGGGGTTGCTATCATAGTGGCTATCATAAAAAAAAAAAAAAGTTACATTTCTGTGATTTTGATGTCCACTGAATTCATTTACCAAATGTAAGGCCTATTTTTGATGGATATGTATAATAATATCAGAAGCATTTGCAAACTTTGTTACTGAAAACATTATGATCTAACATTAAGGGCAGGTATGTTTGAGGGTCTAAAATCCCATTTAAAGAATGCTTTTGCTTTATTTTCATTACCATTTATTACTATAGGTTTTCTTGGTGAAGCAGCATTGGACCATTGGTTGATGACAGAATAACAATTTTTCAGTATCTTAGCTTCTTGTGGGGCCTACAAGTGACGAAAAGACTCACATCTATTAAAGGGTTTTACTAATCCAGCCAATGATAGTAAGCCAAGTCCAAAAAGTGTTTTGAAAGCAGAGAAGATGAAATCATAACAATGGATTAGAAATTACCATTAATAAATCAGAAAGTTTGCTACTGTTACCATTTTGAAATGGAAACTTCCACATTTAGAAACTTCCCTTCTTCGGCCTCAAGCAAAAAGCCTGAGAACAGATGAGTGAAGAATAAGCCTGTTCAGTATGCTAAGTATGCTGCATTGCAATTTAATCTGGTCATGATAATTCATGCAATGATTATGTTGTAGAAACATTGACATTTGTGTGGGTAATGTCGTAGTATACAACTGCATAAATAATCATGTATGAACTTGAAATAACAAAGTACAAGGCTCATGTTAATGGTAGTAAGTAAAATAATTTCATTTTTCTTTGCTGAAATTGACCTTTCGTAACTTTACATGGGAGGATTTGTTCACTAAAAAAACTGTACTTTCATTTTCTTAAAGAAAGCACTCGAGTTAACTTTTAAGGATTTCGTTGCCTTATTAATGATCTCACTTTATCAAATAAATTAAACATTAGTATTTAATAAATACTGATATTTGCATTAAGTGTGCTGAAAATAAACATATTTTATGGCTCTATCTAATAAACATATTTCATAAGCCAGAAAATACTTTAAGAAAGAATTCGATAACTAATAATTAACTCATCAGCAAGTTCAAAAGTGTTAACATTTTTTAAAGTTGAACGAAACTTGTTTTATTCAGCTTCTTTGTCCTCCATTGGGTAAGACCTTGAAGCTTGCATCAAATTTTATCCTTAAAAATAAGAAATAAATTTTCCCCTTTTACCCTTTTATTAAAATAAAACACTAAAAGCACCACTATTTATGACAAAAATAATAAACCTCACCACCTGTGACACACACCATAATGATAAACAGGAAAAGAAAAAGGTTTAGTTCATAACTTAAATAATTTCTTCATTTAAAATTGCCACGCATATTACGTTTAAAAGATTTAGAGTATGCATGAAGCAAAATTGTGATGCTTATAGATTATTTGTTTATGGTTATGGTAGATGAAATAGCTTATGGTTTGATGTGTCACTGAAAACTAAGTACTAACGTAGATGATTTATTTCTTTAAATGTTTTAAAATCTGATTTCTTTGTAAAAAAGAGATAAAAGGTCAAAAACTACGTGAATAATAAGATTTTGTTACGTGAAAGACAAGTTAGAGACTTATAAATAAATAATTTTTTTCAAAGATAATTTTTTTTATATATTGTCAATGTATACTATCATTTTATGAATAAAATAAGAATAATTTTTAATAATAATTATTATTTGATTGGAATAATAATTTTAGAAATATTAGTACTTGTTTATGTAAAATAAAAAAATTTCGGATGTAAGAACACTACTCATCAAGAAAGAACATAAAACCAGAAGTCATAGATAAAATAAATGAGTATTAAAAAACAGTTTAATATTGAAAAAAGAAATTATTTTCTTACTTTAATTTATATAAAAATTATTATTTTTTATTGATTTTTTTATTTTATATGATTAATGTAAAACCATTTTACCAGTTATTTTTCATAAAAATGGTCAATTTTTGGAAGATGGAAGTGGTGGGTATTAGACTTAAATAATATGATGATGGGAATTGCGTACTCATAATGGCATTGGGCATGCCCTTTGTGGAACCATCTCAATCTTGCAATTGCAATTTCACGGTGTTCTATCCTTTTCATAGCAGCTGGTTTTGGTTATGCATACCAATTAACACCCTTTTTTACCCAAAAACGTCTTTGTAACTCACTATCATTCAATTCAACCCTCCCTGTACTACCCACTTGGACCTCCACAGTTTTGAATGTTTGCAAATTACATACATTTTCACACACACTCATTCATTTCTGCATCACAAAGAAAGGAATTCTCCACCCTAACCATACCCTCTTTTTCTTTCTCAAAGTCAAGAATTTCTTATGGGTCTTTTTTGTTTGGACTTTTCTCCACCGACAGCTTTTTTATTTAACCAAAAGATCAAAACTTGTCAGTGTAATCTGCTTCTTTTCTTATTCTATGATTACCGTTGTGTTAATTATAATGTTATGGTCGGTTATTTTCTACTTTTGTTTTCTGTATGTCTTCATATTTCGTTAACAAAAGTTGTTAGATTCTTCTTTTCAAATGTGACAGTACTACTTGCAAGTACAGAGACACCCTACCATATCTTTAGCTTTACAATGCTTTTATTTGACACTTTGAACCATCTTGTATACTTGTTTAATCATGCTTAGCACAAGTAATCATTCACTAATCAAGAAAAAAAAAACATGAAATTGAACTGTTTTTTATAAACCCTAGTTGTAAAATCCTATCCTTACCAAATATACTGACATGGTTGTCCAACCAATTATGTACTTTAGAATCAAACTAAAACTTTCCCTTTTATTCTCCATTTGTAATTTTTGTATGTGGCAGGGAGAGAACCAATACATATTAATAAACAAATTTGTGCATGTGATATGTGTTATAACCAACTATGTAGACAATGAATGAACTGTTACTCACACACTCCAACTAATAATCATACACAATTAAGGGGGAAGAATGGACAAATCATACTGAAGATCTAGACATGTCCGTGACGTTGTCTTGGACACTGATAATACATGGTTTAGAAAGTGAGTGCATAGGTTTCCAAGTTCTGCACAGTGTTTGTGACAGTGAACCAGAAAACAATCCACCAACACCACCATGAACACCTTCCAACAACAACAATAACATAACATGAACATGCATAATAATACACTGACCTCTGCAGCATTGTGCAGAGTTTTCTTGTAATTCCCTTAAATTATAAGACTTGTTTCTGGTTCTCCCTTTGACCACACTCCACACCCCACTTCACATGCATATGGCTTCCACACTAACCATACGCTAGCTATAGCTAGCACGAAAGCTATACAAAACATTCTTTTCTACCTAACTTGTTATTATCTTTATCAGTAGTATGTCCCTTAAAGTTTCTCTATTTCTCTTTAGTCTTCTTCAATCTTCATTTTTGTCTTCCATTTTCTTTTTCCCTTACCTTTGTGAGAGTATATGTGTGCATGACACAATTTGTTCCATGTGGAACTATATATGCCCTGGTAAATAGAATGGAACTTTTGTCGATCCTATCACAGTTTTTGTAAAATTATGGATATCTTTCATATGGGACCCATTTTAATAAGTGTATTCAGTAATACTTCAATTATTTGTATATTTCTTTAATTAGCTATCATTATTTATGACTTTTATCGTTTTAAATTTTATCACACATTTTATTATTGTATTTTTTAATTTCATAAGTTGACTTTCATGTTTTTAAACAAGACGACATTAGCTAATCTATATTTCATAAAGAAAAGTAATATATATATATATATATATATATATATATATATATATATATATTTATTAATGGAGAGAAGAAAAAAATTATTTTTATTTTTTAAAATAAAAATCTATTAACTTGTAAATCAAAACAATTGAACCGACTTTTTAAAATCTAATAATGTATTTCTGATCATTTCATTATTTTTTTAAATTAATTATTATCTCAATCAAATACAATAATATAATTATATATATTATATATAATTTTTTACATCACATGTAACTTTAATTTTATTAAAAAAATATTAATAGTATATTGTCCTGTTAATATTTTTTAATACAAACTTACCTATTATATGAAACTTAATTACATGTGTATTTCACTAAATATTAGATCTCATTTTCTGTTTGTAAATCTCTTTTCTAGATTAACAAGTCTAATATAAACTTCAATTAATAAATAAAAAGAATTTTAGAGAATATTATTTCCTTGTATGTTTATTATCTAAATAATAAACTAGATATTTCAATAATAAAATATGAATTCAATTATTGGACATAATATAATAATTTAACTTGATCTGTTACAATAAAATTCTCCTAAAATAGTATAGTGACGACTCCGAGAGTGATATAACAACTGACCATATGAGTAGAGTCAATATATGGATTGTTTTGATGATATAATTTTTAAAATATATATAAATTAATATTTTTAAAAATAATTTATATATATATATATATATATATTTAATTCATATCTAAAAAAATTATTTATATGTTAAAACGCACTATAAGAATTTAATATGACCAATAATTTCATATCAAATAATCCTCATTTAAAAAATAATCAACAACAATAATTTTGTAGTTTAATTTCTTTACTGTACGATGTTGCTGCTCTTGATGCCCTGGTGAACACGTCATTTATATAGTCATTTATATATAAAGAATACGTGTATAAGTTTAACCGGTTTAACAAATAAATATTGAAAATTTAAATATGAAATGAAATTATATATCGAATAAAAAAATTAATATTTTATATATAAAAAAAATTATAATTTAAAGTGTTTCGATAAGTCTCACTGATTTATGTATACTCATTTTTCAACCTAGACTTTTTCTATTTTGTGGTGCCATATTATTATAATTTTTAAAAAATATTATTAATGAATAAATTTATTATATTATAAAAATATAATTTTATTAAATTTGATTAAATATAAATTAAATTTTTAAATACTATACTCATATTTTTACCGCTTCAATTATCAATTTAATTTTTAAAATATTTGTCTAAGATACATAAAATGAAAATCTCTATTTTATTATTTTATTTTTTATAAAAATAATGACACGGTTAATCACTTTCAAAATATAATATATAACTGGTGCATTTTTAGGGTTTAGGGTTAATCAATTACATCTTGAACAAGTAATATTCCTTTAATATTAATTATTATAATTGGAATAAGCTTTTTTAAAATATAACTAATAACATAGTTTAATGTTTAGAAGCTTAGAGTATTAGATAATGTCTTGTCTGAATTATTTAAAAAAATCATTTTCATGATTTGAAATATCATTAATTCAAAATGTACATGTCCATATTGTGAAATCAAGATATAAGAATAAAAAATAAATTAAATCAAATTTTTCTCTTTTTAATCTAAACGTGGTGCCAACCGAAAACCACTTTTATTATTAGAAATACTATCTAAAATAATTAAATTCCTGTTTAAAATAAATAATAATAATTAAACATTCCTAAATTACACCAATTTGTTCATGATATTTGTGGTATGGAGGGTTTTAATAATATTTTTGGTAAAATTACAATAAGAGATTATTTATTTATTTATTAAAAAAACAATTTTTTTAAATCAATTGTTTTATTAAAACCCTTTTTAATTTTTTTAGCCTTTTAAAATAAAAAAATAAAATTAATAAAATATGTTTTTTTTAATATCAACTAATAATTATATTAAACTATTATATTTCAATATTGAAAAAGTTAATAAAATTATTTTCCATCACGAATTGTTGAGTATTTTTTTTAAATGATTTTTTAAAATAAAATTATTAAATAATTCTTTGAATTTTTTAAAAACAATTTTTTAAGATTGATATTTAAAAATGTTTTTAAAAATAAAATTAAATCAAATTTTTTAATTTAATGGAATGAATTACTTAGTGAAATTGGAATATTAGAATGTGTTGTTTGTGTTATATACTTTTGGTTTTGTTGCAGTTTGTGTCTAAATCAATATTGTTAATTTTTTTCTTTAAACAAACTTTATTATGATAAGAAAATTAGATTATTTTGTTATAATTTTTAAAAAATTTAAACAATTATTAGATAATCCAAAATATAATTATTATTAGATAACTCAAAATAATATTATCAAAAAGATACCATAGTGTTATCTAATATTATTTTTGGTTGTATGTCTTCAAATAATATTTTTCATAAAACTTTATGAAAGTCTTTACTTAATTGTAAATGGTGGGTAACTTGTCCACAATCAAATGTCACATTGTGAACTAAACAACAATGTCTTATTGAAACTAATTCCTATGGATGCTTTAAAAAAATAATATACCTAATCTTTATTAATGATATAAAAAAAATTACAAAAACTTTGATTTAAATGCACCGACATCTTTGTTTTGTGGTATAATTACATGTTATAATCTGTAATAGCATTAAACAAATGTTATAACCATAAGTTATTTTGGTGTTCATTTTATTTCCTATTTTGTCATTTTAAATTTCTCATATTTTACTGCATAACATAATGGACTTCATTTTTTCATCCTTTATTAAAATTTTATTTGATGTTATATATTGTCAAAAGTATATTTACCACTCTTTAAACTATCTACTTGTTCCTATAAAATATTATTATGCCAAATTAATTTATTAAACTTAAAAATTAAATATATTTAAAGGTTTAAATTTCACATTTTTTAAAAGAAATAAAATATGTGATCAAAGAAAACTCTGGACTCCTGTATATATTAAAAATATATATTATAAATTACATACACAACTCCCAGAATAAATATCTTACTCTTTTTATTCCTTATTATTTTCTTAATCACGCGTTTTTTTTTTTACTTGATAAAAAGTAAAATAATCAAATAATTTATATTTGATACAGGATAAAATAATTCATCAAACTATAATAAAAATTATTATTAAAAACATTATTTTTTAGAAGCTAAAAAAATATATTTTATGTAATAATATGAATATTAATTAAGTATTTATAATATTGATCTCTTAAAAAAAACTCTAAAGAGAAATTTATATCATACTTTAGTTTATTCATTGTACATATAAAAAATAATTTATATATCTAAATAAATATTAATTATAATATAATTTATATATTTGACATTTTTTTACATGGAGAGTATTTTGTAATATATATATATATATATATATATATATATATATATATATTAATAATGTATTATATTAATATAATATAGAGGTGAGATGTTAATATAATTTATATAAGTATTAAATTACATTTTTAATAATTTAATAATTTTAAAGGAATATCTCATTTAAAAAAATTAGAATAAAAAATAATAAAAAAATTAAACAGAGCAAACTATTGAACCTAATTATATAAGAGATATTTGCGTAATTGGGATAGTCAACAACCACAGTAGGTATAACCGCCACCGTCGTGTACGCGCAGGATTCCAACCCCGTAACAATTTCTCACGTGCCACGGTCCGTGCACGTGCCAAACTGTCGGTGGATCACTAATGTGGGAGACACCCTTTGAATTTGAGCGAAGACAATAACTTGAAAAAGCTGTACTTTGCTTATCTTTTAGTATCCTGCTCATGCCCCCGATGCACGCCACGTGTCTCTCATTCTCTCATCTCCTTCCATCTTCTTTTTCTTCTCTCTCTAATTTAGTTTCTTATGCTATTTATTCAATCAGAGTAATAATTAATAATCTCCATCACTTTTTTTCTTTTTTTTTTTTTGTACTCTTCATATTTGAATTTCACACTCACTTAAAAATCATATATTTAAACAAAGTTTGTAATAATTAAATTAACAAATTATCAAAAACTTTATTGTTTTCAAATGAATAATTCATTTCATGTATCTATTATGTTCTGAAAATACCCTCTTATACCATTTCACTCAATTTTGGTACATTTCTAATAACAATCTTTACATATAAGAAATTTTTCTATCCAAAACCTTAAATAGTGTTTGCCTAATTTTATTTATGCTTCAAGATTTTTTTTATAACTTTAAAATATGAAGAAACAAAAATAAATAGTGCTTGTCTATTTTATAGATAAGACCTGTCATTTCAATTTCGCTTTTAAACACCAAAAATTGTTGAGTCCTGTAAATAATAATTGACAACATCTAGTATCTAATATTCAATAAAATATCATTATTTTTATTTTCTTACAATATATATAAACCCACATCCCATTATTCTAAATTTTTCTATTAATTTTAATCCTTTTTTTGAGAAATTTAATATAAAAATATCATATAATTATTAAATAGATAATTAGATACCGTTCTTATTGTTTCTATACTCTACATGGATAATTTTGCATTGCTCAGAATTAGATTAAGCATTGATAAGGATCAAGTATTGGACTTCACGACAAAGCTAGTTAGTCCAAAATCAATAATACATTAACCAATTATGGAAAAAGACACTAAATTAACTAGTAGTTTACAATAAAAAAATTGTAAGAAAAAAAATATAAAATGGCAACAACAAAAAACATATATGGTAATTGTCTGATTAATAGAAGAAAATAAAAGTTAACCTAATTTTTCCATTAAATGAAGTTATTGCCATGCAATGACATCAAAAACGAAATTTTACCTGAATGGAAAGGGACCAAAGTGCTTGGCCTCCATTTTTGAATTCTTCACCTTCCATCTACATCCTTTCAACTATTGTATCATACAACAAAATAAAGCGTCGGTGAGCACATGTAATAAAAAAAAATAATTAACTTGAGAATAAATTAGAGATGAAAACACTAATATTTTATAGAGAATTATAATTTTTTGGAAGACTAATTTTACCAATATTATTATTTTATTAACAAATAAATTACTAAATGATTTTTAGAAATTATTCTTGTTTAAAAATGGTTTAATATTTTCCCTATTATAGTTTTAAAATGTTAAAAAGTAAGAGTATGACTTACTATTCAATTGGAACAAAAGCAAATTCTTGATTCTTAAAGTATAGATTGTTACAAAGAAAGGCACAAAAGAAGGAAACAGCACGTGTGAAAGTACTAATAAAAAAACCTAGAAGTAAGCAATCAAACATTTGATGGTTTGGTTTTGTTGAGTTTCACTTTCACCAGGGTTAAAAATTACCCTACCTTGGTTCTTTTGCAAGTTGAGACATCACACGTGCGAGAGACCAATGAGAAGCTTTGGCGGGTAAAAATTCACTGTTTGAACAACTATTATAATTCTTCATTGCGAAACACCAATCATTGGTCTATCTCTAAATTCCATAACTACCCCTATAATAACACGTGGCATCTGGAGAACTGCGGATACAACATCTTTATGTTGCACAAGAATGCAGCGAAACTCTACATCACATCCTTCTATTCTCTCCGTCGGTTTTTCTTAACCATTTATGAAGAAATTAAGATTGCTTTGCCGGCTTTTCTTGTCTCCTTCTCTTACTTTCCAACCACTTTTTTTTTATAAAAAAAAAACTTGAATTAATCTAATTATTATTATTTTTATCAATTAATGAAGATTAAAAATAAAGAGAAATTACTCATACATAGAGGTAGATGGCCTTTCACTTTTGCTACTGTGAACTAATTGAAAGCATTATCCTAATTAAATTAATTTTCCTCATAAGAATATTTAAAGAGTAAGAAATTTGTGTTTGTTTGATTTTTTTGGAAGAAAAAAAAACTTGTGAGTAAAACCTTTTAATTGTAGAGTTTAATTTCTATTATCTTTGGATATAAAGATTTTAAAGTTATCAATTAATAAAAATTATATTAAATATGACTATAAGATAAATATTGTAAAAATTAATTAACTTACCATTCATAATAATGTGTAGTTTCGTGCTTCTTTTAATTATCGTCCAAAAAATTATTGCTTAAAGGGTTAAAAAAAAAATAAAGCAACTATTTTTTAAACAAATTAATTCAGACTTTCTCAAAGTCAAAATGCTCTCAGAGTGAAAAGAAAAGAAAAAATTAATTACAATTTGATCAGTGGGGATGAAATGCTTAATTATATTAATAGTCACAAGAAACAAAAGCATAATTGATCATATGATATTTTTAAGGACAATTATTAAAAACTTAACTAGTTAAATTAATTAATTAAATGCATAGTATATATGAATATCACAGGGTGTCAGCATAGTTAGCTGGCCACTCGTTTTATATTATTATTATTATTGGTTTCCATTTCATCACTTTCTTCACCCTCTGATTTCTCCACTGCAGCAAGGGAGAATCAGTTCTTCATCGTTGCAAATTCTTCACTCTCTTCTAGATTCTCACTTTCTTCAGCCTCTTCTCCTCAATCTCCTTTGGACAAAAAACAAAAAACACAGCTTCAGATTGTTCAAGCACTTTTTTTTTTCTTGTTCAAGATTATGCTGTAAAATTCTGAAACTTGCACCTTCAGCCACATTTTAGTCTAAAGATCTGTACCTTGAGCCGTGGCAGGTTCAGCTCTTGAAGGGGTTGGAGTAGTTCTTCCTCACAAGTCGTTTATTGGTCCAAGTTTATTTCTTTCTCTCTCTATCCAAGTTCAAAGCTTTTGTTGTTTTTTCTGTGTTTTTCTCTCTCCTGCGGTGGAATGCTGGGGTCGGATATTTCTGAGACATGTTCTAGCAGGCTTTTGGGTGAATTGGGTCAGTTTGATTTCTATCATGGGTGGTAGAGAATCTGAGTCCTCAGAGATCTAACCCTCTCTGATTTTTTGACAAGCACACACACCCTTTTGTTGCATAGTTGTGAAAGTGAAAGAGTGAGGAAGATGATGAGGATGAGGAATAGTAGTGGTAGTAATAATCACAAGACAAATGGTCTTTCTTCCATCATGAATGGAGGAGGTTCAGCTGCTTGTAGATCTGAGCCTGGTTCAAAGGAATGGGAAATGAGGCCAGGGGGAATGCTGGTCCAGATGAGAACCGCTGACTCGGATCGGAACTCGGTGCTTGTTCCCACAATTAGAGTTAGGGTCAAGTATGGTTCAATTTACCATGAAGTCAACATTAGTTCTCAAGCTACATTTGGTAACTCTTCACTATTTATTTTTTTCATAAGTTTTAATGTTATTTATTTGCCTCTTATGTTCTCTTGTTTTCTTTACCTTTTCCTTGTTAGACAAAACTTGGACACAAAGTTTTAGGTCATTTTAGTGTTGTTCCTGTTATTCTATCAAAATTAGAGTTTTATCTTTGCATTAAATGTTAACATAGATTTCTGAGTGGAATTCTGATTCTGATAAAGAATAATACTAAAATTATCCACAGGATTGTCTTAAATTTTTGTTCATTGTTGTTTTGGTTACATGGGTTATTGCGTGTGTTTAATTTCTTGGGTTGCAGGGGAGTTGAAGAAGATGTTGTCAGGGCTAACTGGATTACACCATCAAGACCAAAAGCTGTTTTACAAAGACAAGGAGAGGGATTCAAAGGCTTTTCTTGACATGGTTGGGGTCAAGGATAAATCCAAGATAGTTCTAGTGGAAGACCCTATTAGTCAAGAGAAGAGGTTGTTAGAGATAAGGAAGAATGCTAAGATGGAGAAAGCTGCAAAGTCGATCTCAGAAATCAGCTTGGAAGTAGACAGGCTTGCAGGGCGGGTATGAATTATGGTTGCTATTGATATTATTATTATTATTATTGATGAATTTTTCTGAAATTTTCTTTTCATTTACAAACACTTCATTATGAGTGAGGTGGTATTATGTTAAATGCTCGAGTACTTGGAAGCTGATTAGTTGTTGGAATTGGTTAGGTATCAGCCTTTGAGTCAATTATTAGCAAAGGTGGGAAAGTTGTGGAAACAGATGTTCTAAATCTGATTGAGTTATTGATGAACCAATTGCTTAAATTGGATGGCATAATGGCTGATGGGGATGTGAAATTACAGAGGAAAATGCAGGTAATGTTAGAGACTTAGATGCATTCTGCTTATTTTTGTGTTGTTTACAATATCTCGAAATTCATTTGGTTATGCACTCATCCTTCTAATGGTAGTGAAACATTACTTTTGAAGGTAAAAAGAGTTCAAAAGTATGTTGAAACTCTTGACTTGCTGAAGGTTAAGAATTCTGTGCCTAGTAGCAATGGAGACCATGCTCCATTACAGCCTCAACAGAAGCATTCAAATGGGCAAAGGTTGGGAGCAGTTCAAGACCAACAACAAAAGCATTCAAATGGACATAATAGGTTAGCCTTAGCACCAATTCAGGAGCAGCAACAAGAACAACCAAGGAACTCAAATGAGAATTCTCTAGCACTTTATCAAGAGCAACAACACCAAACCTCAAGGAATTCCACCTCAGAAGTTGTGGTTACCACAAATTGGGAGTTGTTTGATTCTGCTCCACCATTAATCCCTGTGCAATCCACATCCCCACCCCAACCCCCCCCAGTGACTAATAATTCAGGTCCTCCCAAGTTTAATTGGGAATTCTTCAACTGAGTACCATACCACGTGCTTTTACCTGTGTGGATGTGATTTGGGTTTGTCTTCCACTTGGAGTGTTATATGTTTTACATTCTTTTCTGTATTTAGATTTGTTTAGCAACCCCCTATAATCTGTCATTTACTGCAGAAATAAATGGGGTTGCTATCATAGTGATGATCAAAAAAAAAAAAAGTTACATTTCTGTGATTTTGGTGTCCACCAAATTCATTTATCAAATGTATGGGCCTATTTTTGATATATATAATATGATTATAACCATTTGTGGCATAGTTAATGTAAACAATAGGATTTAACCATGTATCTTTATTTTCAGAGTCTACAAATCCCATTTAAGGTAGAATGCCCTTGCTTATGCTCTGTTGTATTTCTTGGTGAAACAGCATTGGAGCTTTGGTTGATGATGTAATAACAATTTTTTAGTATCTTTGTGGGGGGCCACAAGTTACAAAAAGACTTACATCTATTAAAGGGTTTTACTAATCCATCCAATGATAGGAAGCCAAGTATAAAAAAGTGTTTCAAAAGTAGAGAAGTTGGAATGATAACTATGGATTAGAAATTACCATTAAGAAATCAGAAAGTCTGCTAATGATACCACTTCTGCACACAGGCCATTCTACATTTGGAAATTTCCCTTCTTTGGTCTCAAGCAAAGACTTTGAGAAATGAGGAGTGAAGAACAAGCCAGTTTCAGTCTACTAAGCTTGATGGACTGCAATTTAGACTGGTTATGATAATCCATGCAATGATTACGTACATGAGGCATTGACATATGTCCTAGTAAGCCTACAGAATCATCAACTTTTTAGTAGGTAATCATACTATGATAGTAATACACAGATTTGGAAGAAAGTAATCCACCCCGAGGATCATGATAACTGCATATATAATCATGTATGGCCTGAAACAACAAAGTACAAGGCTCATGTTAATGGTAATTATATCATCGGACTTTTTGCCCCATAAAGTTAGGACTCAAGGTTGATTTTATGTAAACTTGTTACTAAGTAAAATAATTTCATCATAAATCTTGGTCTGCTGAAATTGGTCTTTCTTAACTTTTTACATAGGGGAAATTTTCTGTTTAACTTCTACTTTCATCAGAAAGTGCAAGACTCAACTTTTAAGCCCTACATTCCTCTAATTTCTTGTTGAGTAAAAACACTGATCCAATTTAAAAAATTTAATGATTATTAATCACATACTGCATTGAATAAGTGTTTCACAAATAATGCAATGAATAAATGTTAACTAACTTAGGGAAGGAGTTGGTTTGTGCATGCTATTTTTTTTTTTTTGAAAAAAAAATGTTATTACTAGTAAAAAACAATTTTATAGTTGTTTACTAGTCATTTTTATTTTTTTATTGTGATATACTTTATTTTTTGTTACTCACTCAATTCAATTATTGGTTAATTTTAATTAAAAAAAATTTCTCTTAATATATCCATTTTCACCATATATATATATATATATATATATATATATATATATATATATATATATATATATATTATATAAATCGACACTTTTTTCTATGCACCTTCATAATTTCTACTTACACTCTAATAATTAAATTAAATCTAATTTTACTCTTACACCTATCTTCGTTCTCCTAAGTATTTATTTTTTGTTTTTAAACCTTTGAATGTCTGAGTTTTAAATCTTAAAGCATTCTCATTTTTCCTTCTCCTATTATTCCAAGAATTGCAAGAAACAAGTAAGAATCTCAACTGCTTTCTAATTTGTAAATGTCTTTGGAAAAGATCTTCCAAAAAGTGGGTTCCAACATACATTTCCGAAATTAATTTTTCAAAAATTATTCTAGATTGGTGGGTTTAGAACATACTTCCGGATTAAATATTCTGGAAGTGTATTATAGATCCACCAATTCAAAATACATTTTTGGAAAATCAATTCTAAAAATATATTTTGAAACCCATTTTTCAGAATTTGTTTCTGAAAAATCTTTTCTAAAAATGTTTTTCTAAAACTCATTTTTTGGAACACTCAATCCAAAATGCATTTCTGGAAAAGTCAATCCAAAAATAAATTATAGATTGAATGTTCTGGAACTCAATTTGATTTTTTCAAAATTTTTCCAGATCAAACAATTTAGGTATTAATATACAATTTCAATGCAGAAAACATGTAATAAGTACACAACTATTACTTATAATTGATCTTGAATGGACATGATAAAACAAGAACCCGAATCTGCAAAATATGGAGTTGTAAAAGATAAGCAGTGGAGATGCAGAAGGTATGCAGGAAAATATATGAAGGTCTTAGGATTTGAAACAAAAATTATTAGAAGGATATTTTATTTATTTTACTTGGGGTATGAAGTTGCAATAAGAAATTAAGAAATTATGAGGGTGTAGGAAGAAAGTTAAAAAAACCCTTGCATTAACTTTCTTTTGAGCCCATGTTGAAAGGAAAAAATTGGCACATTCTTCCTCCATCTTCATACTTACTTCATGCACCCCTATATTTTATTTGAAAAGACAATAATATCTTTAGTTTTATGGAATGAGTGATCAGAAACATACTATTGAGTATTACAAATTGAAAATTTTGAAAAAAATTCGAATGAATAGATCTAGAAATATATAACTTTTTTAAGTTCCGTATTATAAAATCCAGAATATAATTTTATCATTCCAAAAAGATTACCCTGAAAAGTTTGAAAAAGCTAAATTTGGAATGTATGATTTAAGTTCCAAATTCATTCTTTCTGAAGCTTTTAAAAAATATTACAGAATGATCTTTCTGAAATCTTTATAGAAATGTTTTAAAATATTTTTGGAAAGTTGATTTCGAAACTTTTTGGAAATTTAATTCTGAAAAATTTTCAAAAAAGTGAATCTGAAACTTATTTACATTAAGGACACTATGGTCTCTTTAGATTAATTTCGGTGCAGGAAGAAAAAATCCAAAACATTTGCACCAAAAAGTCTTATTAAAACCTGGATCCATCTCATTAGTTTCTTGGGTCCTCTATTCTTAGCCTTAATAGGCCTCAATGTATTTTCAACAAATTTTTTAGAAATTTTGTGTTCAAAAAACTCAAACAAAAAGAAAAAAAAAATAAAATAAAAATCTCTCCACATAAAAATTAAAAAAAAAAATTAGGAATTAAACTTTTGTTTTCTCCACCTTATGAGTTAACGGTTAGACAATATAATACAGCCCATTTTGTATTGGGCTTAAATGGGCCACTCCAATTAACTATGTGTGATATGAGTGAAAAGGCTGCGTATTTTAATTTTTACAAAGAATGATAAAAATAATTAAACAATATCAAATGTAAACCCAAAATTTTTTACTTTAATAATTAAATCCTAGTAACTAACATTGATGTAACTTTATCTAAACAACTTTTCACAAAGAATAATAATAATAATTAAAAAAAAAAACCATTAGAAGCATATCACTTAGGCCTTCGGAATCATAGATTATTACACTTCATTCAACCCAATAAATAAAAAAATCCAAATTCAAATGTCTTGAATTCAAATAAGATAGGCCAAAGATTTAAAACTAAAACTTATCTACGGAATGAACCCTTTTCTTGGTGTAAATTCCATTTTACAAAAGCTTCACGGAAGCTTTGGTTACCAATCACTATGAGGTGGAGATTGATGAGTGACAAGGATAAAGAAAATTCTCTTTAATGTACAACAAGTTGAATTCAATTGAAATTCATTATAAAATTGGTTGATGTTTAGCATTTCCATTAAGCATATATGCTTTATTATTAAAAATATGTGATTTTTCCACGATACTTTCCATCTTCAACCAAAAAAAGCAAACACACGTGCACTCTTTGAACATGGACTAGTTAGTATATAAATTGTCCTCACAATAGAATACAGAATATGAATCACTATGTTAACCATTGTGCTTCATGTTTGCTTTATTCTTACATTTAAATGGTTCATAAAATTTAAAAATCATTCATCACCAACTTGATGCTTCTCAATTTGATTCTCAAAGAATGAAACTCTCTTTCTTTCCTCTTAAGCATATATGCCTTTTGCCTCTCCGATTGCTAACATCTAATTGTATTGCTTACTCTATAATTTAAACTTTTGTTTCAAATCATTATAATATATAAAGAGATACCAAATATTATATACATTTTGTTCTGAATTTTATTTTCAGAGTATGATATAAAAAACTCTGAATTGTTCCATAAGAACTGCATCATCACCATCATCATCTTTCAACTATTTACCTTTTTAAATGCAGATAATGATGATCCAACAGCTAAACCTTTATCTGTGGATGATGGAAAACCATTTCAGATTTTAATTACTTCTCACGTGTAAAGGCAAAAAGGTGAATGAATCCGAGTCGTCTTTCTTTTCAATAGTCATGATCTCATGATCATGCCCTACTTATTCTTATACCTAATGTGAACACTGTTCACAAACTATTTTATTATCTACTCCATAAACACTGTACATTTGTCTGCAGAATAAGAGAAAAATCACAATCACAAGCAATTGAAGCCGGCATAGCCACTTCCTCCTCCAAACTCATCACCCTGTCAATTAATACTTTATATTTGTTCATGAAATATTCTTTAAATTATTTCATTCTCAGTTGTTTTCAATGAAAAATATATAACTTTTTAGAAGTATTCAAACTAATTTCTTGTAAATGCATATATTTAATAACCATCTTGGTTCTTAGATTAAAAATAAGTCAGGAAAAAAATAAATCTCTAATTTTTTATTTTTATTATTATAATTTATATATTAAATCATTATATTTAAAATAAAAAATTCATTTGTTATTTATTATTTTTTTAAATTAATTATTTTTATATAAATATTATATATATTCTTTATTTATAAATTTTCAAAATATAAAAAACGATTTATTCGCCTGATATAAGACCATAAGAAAAAATATATAATTTATTTTAAAATATAAATTAAATTAGACTATCGCCATTTTTACTTTAACACGACTATATTAAGTTAGATCGAAAATGTCATTTTGAGAATTTTAATTTTAGTTATGAAACTTAAGTGCACAGCTATTTTTTATTGTAATAATTATTTTAAAAATCATGTTCATAATAGTTTTTAATTAATCAATTGAAATATACAAATTGAGGAAGACGAATGGGAAACCAAATGGGATCAGTTTCACAAACTCCGCAGCAGCCAAAGAAAACTTTCAAATATCAATTATGTCTGCGCCCAATAATCATTTAAAAAAAAGATAATTAATATTAACACTAATATTATAATAAATAGGTACCAGAAATGCAAATAAAAATTAAAATCCAAAAGTTAACCATGCAATTTTGTGCTCATATATTTTATGCCATAAGTAACATTTTTAATTGTCCCACCAATTTAGATTTCAAAAATGCGCCATCATTTAATATTTGTTTTGATGAAGTCCACACAACTGGGAAGGTAACCTAGTCATTTTGGAGAACCGAGTTGATGTTTTCGAGTCCTCCCAACATTTTGAAATTGAATTTTTCTAAAGTAGAATATTCTCAGAATCAATCTAGCTATTTTAATTTCTTGGAATTGAAACAAATGGTGATTTTTTTTATTAGATCATGCTTTGAAACCAAATGAATCTAAGTCAATAATGAGTTATAATAATTTAGGTCTTACTTTACAGCATAAAAAAGCTTTTCAAATGCATGGTTCAATGTTTTTCTAACAAGAAACATGTTTTCTTAATAACATTAACGGAATAAAAGTAACCACGTCGTGTCTTGATCTGCAAATGGAATTGAATTTTGTGTCTTCCTTGACACAGTCAAGATGTGAAATTAGTGGATTCAGACTCCACTATTTGTCTACATGCTTTGGTATGAACAAATTGCACTAACTTCAATTACAGTTAACAATATTACGTAATCCATCATGATATAAAGGCTATTACACTGTTCATGAACAAATAGTGGATTCAAAATTGTATCCCATTATAACAAATATCACCATAAGAATCCAATAACAGTTATCTTATTACATTTGAATTTGTCTATTTCAAACTAAATATTTATATAAAATATGATTACATATTTTTTAAATAATCTAAATTAAAACATTGTATACATCTATTGCATTTCAAATAATATATTAATATCCTATGATCTCATGCTTTAAGGCAAGAAATAAACATTTAAATTTTGTAAGAGAATTGTCATTGGCAGGATTCGAACTCAAGATCTTTAGAGTTGGAGACTGATACTCCAACCACTAAACTACTTGAATTTTCCGATAATAACTTACAAATAAATTATATTTATATACAAATAAATATATATCCGTGTAAATATATAAATACAAATATATTTATATATTTTGATATATTTATATAGTTATATATTTATATGTTGGATGTGAGGGCACACTCGAAAATGAAAGTGTGTGTCGAGTGGGTTTTCAAAATTTGATGCTAAATTTGTGAGCAGGTATCTTTATATGAGTTTGTAATTTAATGACAGAATATAATCTTTATAATTTTATTTATATAATGATATAAAATAAATTTGGGAAACGCGTTATTTGCTCTCAAGCGAAAAATACCAATTTTCGCTCAAGCGAGACTTGAGAGAGTGAATTTCCGTGAGCTTTAACATATTTTCACTCAAGCAAGAGTCAATCACACTTTCACCCTCGATCGAAAAATACCAATATAATTTATTTGTAAGTTATTATCAAAAAATTATAGTAGTTTAGTGGTTGAGATATTAACTTTCAATCCTAAAATACTCGAGTTCAAATGCTATCAGTGATAATTCATTAACTTAAGAGAATTTTTGGCTGAAAAAAAATAAAAATACTTTCTAGAAAATATATACAAATAGATATATATTTACATGGATATATATTTATTTGTATATAAATATAATTTATTTGTAAGTTATTATCAAAAAATTCTAGTAGTTTAGTGGTTGGAGTATTAGTTTCCAACTCTAAAGTACTGAGTTCGAATCTTATTGATAACAATTTTCACATTTAAGTGAGTTTTTGGCTGAAAAAAAAAAAAAACTTTCAACGTAAAGTACTTTCTACGTCGGTTGACTAAGAACCGACGTAGAATGTGTTTAATATTCAATTTCAACGTCGGTTCATCTGGGAACCGACGTGGAAAGTACTTTATACGCCGTCTTAGCTATAACCGACGTTAAATGACGACGTAGAAAGTATATTTTGTAGTAGTGAAAACTTTAATAAAAAATGTATTTTTAACATATTTTATATTATATTGATTGAAGTTTATTAAAAATTATAAAATTTGATGAGTATTACATCTCATTTGATAAGAATTTCTCCTAATTTCATAGTTTTTTTAATAAATCTAATTCAATAATAAAATGTGTATTAAAAATAATGGATGACCAAATATATCACGCAAGCTTAGATAATTGAGTAAAATGGTAAAATCGTTCAACTTTTTTGTTTTTAACTTGGAAAAAACAAAAGAAGATAGATTGATTTGTCAAAATCATAATTAACTACAGACTTTAGCTTATCTTCTAAAAAGACATACTGAAGAGCTAACATACTAACATACAAATATTTTTTTATATATAGTACAAGAAAATTATTTTTTACTGATTAATATTTACTAACTGATATTTAGTCAATAAATAATTATCGACGGATAGGTAAATGAATAATTAATTATGCGTTGTGAAATTTACTCTTATCGACGAATATATTCATCAAGTAAATTAATAATTAATTTTTGACATATATATTCATTTGTAAATATTTAAAATATATAAATATATTTGTATTTATACATTTTATATTTATATATTTACACGAATATATATTTATTTATATATAAATATAATTTATTTATAAGTTATTATCAGAAAATTGAAGTAGTTTAGTGATTGGAATATCAATATCTAATTTTAAGATCTTGAATTTGAATCTTATCAGTAATATTTTTTTAATTATTATGTAATAAATAATAAAAATATAATATAAAAGATTGAGTTTGAATCTTGTCACTTATTATTTTTTTATTATTATAATATAATAAATAATAAAAGAGGCCTTTGTATAAATATGAATAATAATTTAATATATAATAAATAATAAAAATATAAAATGGTTGGTAATATTAACTGATAATATAATTTGTGATAAATTTTTTTTCATGATAATATTTGATGGATTTTGTCTGTAAAAAAATTCAATTTTTGTATAATGATATATATATTTTAAATATACCTAACTAATTTTTAATTTTTATTGATTAACTAATATTTTTATTAGATAAAATAAATAAATTATTATATCTATGTATCAAAATATTTAATTATAATTAATTTAATTTAATTGAATAATATTTATAATTTAAATTATAATACTTTTTATTTTAATTTTAATTTTAATATATAATTTTTTTTAAAGTGGGTCGGTCTTACCATCTTATTATTGAGAAAATATTCAAATAATATAATTATTTTTCAACGATTTTCTAATGATAGCCATCTTCATGAGAAATAAAAATATTTATAAATTTTGTAGGAGATAAATATTACGAAAAGTGAGTTGGGAAAGGTGCAATGCACTGGTGGAAAAGGGTGCACATGTAAGCCATCAACGAAGAACTGTGTGTGTCACTTTCAGCAGTACTTGGAACATCCAAGTTGACACGCAAACGTGGGTTATCAAAGAAAATAAAACCCTAAAAAAGTAGCTGTCTCACATTCAGAGGCGACCAACCCTAGATGTTGAAACCCTAATTCCTTCTCTTGATTGCAACCATTCATTGTTGACCAACACACACCTTTGATTCTCCCCCAACCCTCAAGATGCTCAATTTTCCCTACATAAAAGTATATGTCTACACAAGAGGGAGCCGGTGCCTATGTTGTTGCACTCACTCCATAATGCTCCAGTTTAATAGTGACATGATTACCCAAATCACCATCATCATATACTTCATAATTTTATCTTTATATAGTGAGATGACTATGAAAACAATAGTCACATTTCATGATCATCGTAACTTTTCTACTACTGCTACTACTATTATATGATTTTGTAGATGAGGCAGGCATCTACTAATATATAGTGTTAAATGATGTGATTAATAAACTAACATTTCTCCTGTGAAATGATGACAACCCTAGATAAATTTAACCATGAAAGTTGAAAGATGAGATTTTTTTTAGGTTAACTCATGGGGGTAAGTGGTCCAGCCTCTAGTCATGGAGAACAACCATATTAGTGGTTAGTTTGAAGGAATATGCTACTTGGCACAAATGGGGATCGGTGTAAGATAAGTTAGATTATTGATGATGTTCATAGAAAGGATTGACATGATATGCATGAGGCTTTAGTTTTATCTATCATTCTATATGGTATCTTAATGTCTAGTGTTATTAGTTTATTATTGCATTAAGAGGAATTTCAACCTCAATCAATCACCATTTATATGTTATCTTGTGATCGAATACATAGCCTTAGGCTCCTACAACATAGCACGTGTCGTAGTTTTAATGCAAAATCACACTCATGTTGGGTCAAGGTTGTGCATAGTGAAAGGCCATTGATGCCACTGTCCTACGCCTATTTTTACTTATATTATTTGTAACTTGCCCAATCATTTTTTATTAAATTAAACTTTAATAACAAATTATCATCAGTTCATAAATATATTATTTCTGTTTTTTATTGAAAATATTCAGGCACGTCTCTGTAAAATTTCATGATGAAATCGTATCTTCGTAGCAAAATACAACAAGTATTATTATTTTTTATTAAAGATAGGGCCACCACATTATTTACTAGTCTTTTTAAATGTAATTGTTTTATATTTCCAAAATCGCCTTTCTTTTTTATTTATAAAACTATAACTATTATTAATATTTTACAGTCCCTCCCTCTTTATATATATAATTATAAAAATTTAATATTTTCAGCTTATTTTTCCACCTCTTATTTTTCACTTTTCTTCTTAATATTCATATTCCTTTCGTGACTTGAAATAAATTGTCAACTGTACTATCACATCATTGTAGTAGACAATACTAACATGTATTTATTTTTTCGAAGCTTTAGAATTTCATCATTTTTTTTATTTAATTTTCAAAATTATTGTACTTAGATTATTACTATTTTCTTTTTATTTCATTTTTATTCTTATTTTTTGTAATAGAAAAAGAAAAATAGAAAGTGTGAAATTGGTTTTGAAAGATTAAACAAAAGTAAAAGTTGGAACCTAATTCATTATAATAGTGCTCTTACATGTTTGTTATTATTCATAAATTTAATAGGTGAAATTTATAAATGATATTGAAAAGAAATCACTAATTCCCAATGTTAATGAAGAATAAGCTATTTTTTTTAACGAAGATATGTATTAAAAGAGAATATTAAGAATAATATTAAGTAAAGATTTTAGTTGAAAATTATTATGATGGAAAACAATAAAAAAATACAGATGAAAAATATAAGAAATTTAAATATAATTTAATCTAATTACAAGTCACAATTTTTAATTTCTAAAAAATAAATATGATATCTCATCTATAAAAACTAAAATATTAACATATTTTATATAATAGAAAATATCTCTAACATTGTAATGTCTTAGGCCACAAAATTCTTAAACACAACCTTGTACTTGGGTAACAGGAAGATATTATTTATTTGTATAATATTAATTAATATTTAATATTGTTGTACGTGATATAACTTGGAGGATAAGAATAAATTGAAAGATAAAGGAAATACTTTTGTAATATTTTATAGTTTTAATTTATATACTCAGATTCTATAATAGAAACACAAATAAACTAGTTATTAATATTTATATATTTTAAAAAATAATAAAAAATAAAAGAAAAAAAAGTTATGACACAATTAATAAGTAATATATATATATATATATATATATATATATATATATATATATATATTTTATTCTGATATACTCATGAATCCGTTTAATAATTAAGATCAATGATAATTTATATATATTCTTCTTTTTTAACTTACCAAAATATATTACCAAAATATTTTTAAAAATTGTAATGGAGAAAAACTTCAAAACTGACAATACATAATGATAATTAATCAAAATGATATTATTATAACATGAGATTCTTATTTTTATACAGAATATTCCACACACCCCTTAATCTTTGACTTTACGAGTCTTACATACTTATAAATTATAATACTCGAACAGAATATATATATAAATAATGAATAAATATTTTTTTAAATAAATTAATAATATAAAAATATAAATATATGTATTTTCACTCGTTTTTATCATGTAAATATTCTCTTAGCTTTCACTTTAACCTCGATTAATTATAATCAACACTATAATGTAACTTCTTCAAATAAAAAGTAAGATTGGTCATGGTTTAATACCTATTTTTTTTAATTGATTTGTCAATAAAGAGTTTTCTCATAATCAGCAAGTTAATTTCTTTATTTTCCTACAAATTTTCAAATTTTGTAATACAGAATATCTAATGCCCATTTTTTTTTAATATTACGTACTCGAGTTATAGTAATATATATATGTTCAACTATCTATGTACAATTTCTTATTTTAAAAATTGCGAAGTATTGTTATTTTACTTTTAATCCTTTAAAACATATATTAATCTTAAAATATAACTATTTATTATTAACTTAAAATTTAAAATTTATATAATTATTGTTAAATGCACCGAATACAACATGCACCGTCGGTGCCAAACCAACTTTGTGAATGTGATGGCTTCCAAGACGTCATTCTTGTCTACTCTGTCATGTTAGGTCAGTTAAAGTGTTCTAATTTGGTTTGAATATTTTCAATGAGTAAGTTACGAAGAATTTTCTTTGTATTACAGTGAGTGTTTGTTAATGTAATATTTCAACATCTTTGAAACTTTTGATCATTGATGTGATGGAGAAGACTCACTCTCCCTTTATTATTATTATTGTTATTTCTAACATGGATTCTCAATCTATGCAGTCCAATCCACGAGCATGCTATGATTTATTGAGACAATGACAAATGTGTTCATCTAAAGTCTATTAAAGAAAAAAACCCTAATGTGTTAAAATGTAGTATCTAGAATCCTATTTTTTTACACTTTGAAATGGAAAAAAAGTTCTTCTTTTGTGGATTCTTCCCTAATGTGTATGAGTAGGTAGATTTCTTTTTTCTTTCGTTAGGATTTAATGTAAATGGATCAAACATTTGCATTTTTCATTCAATTAATGATCAGTTATTATATTCTTTTCCTATAATTAAAGATATGTTATTCTAATAAATTTGTATAATTTTAATTATAATTAAAAAATTCTTTTTATTTATTAATATGATAAGAGAATTACTTGTTTTTATACCTAAAAAAAATTGTTGCATAAGATATTAATTATGTAGGGGGATTCATGATGAAAGTTAAATAAGATAAATCATAATCAAATACTAATGTTGGGACTCAATACTCTTAAATAAGAAAAGTTGCACCTTAACTATCGATTATATCTTCTAGTTTAGAGATAATGAGTTAAAAGATTTTAATTATTTTCCTTTTAGGATTAAGGGTGGAATAAATGGTGAGTTCATCATATCATTTTTCATTCCATTTATACCAATTATGCATGTCATCATCCATTTGATTTTTGGTTATTTTCATTTTTAAATTTTTACAGTCTAAAAGTAATAATTGATTTATAAATCTTTATGAATACAATGTTATTTATTATTTTGGTACTCTTGTTAATATTATAGGCAAATAATACTCATATTTCATTACAATATGGTTAATTAATTATGTATTTCTCTATATTAAAATATCATAATCTGAATATTAAAGAAAATGGCTTAAATATTAGTCTTGTTTGTTTGTTTAAGAAATAGGTAAATCATGTTTAGATTTTAAGATTTTCGTTATAGAAAAGCATGTTAATGCTTTATTATGAAATTACCTAATTTAGAGTCATAACTAGCTAGTAATGTATATCCAAGTATTCTTCTTATTGATAAGATGCACTTTTAATATGAGATATTTAATGTCATATACATTTAAATAAAAATTCTACCTTTATTTTTGTTTAAGGTCCACATGAGTTGAAAATAAGGAATTAATAAGAATTATAACTACCACCACTTCTTTTATCTTACGTCAACATGTGTTATTAGGTTAGAATTTTTTTAAAAATATAAGAACATTTATAGAAATATAATTTATTTGAAATATAAAAATTTATTTAATATAGAAATTTAAGTATAGAAATATGTGTTATATAAGTTAAATATATTTTATTAGGTAATCGTTTGAAAATTATTATAATTGTAAGTGGTAGAGACAAAATAAATAAATTATATCAAAAAAAGTTATTTATGATTGAAATAGAAAATTTCTAATTTATTTTATACCGATTATTATAATAATTAACATAGTATCTTCTTTTTTATTACATTATTATAATATTGATCAATATCTGATATTAAAAGTTAAAACTTTATATATAGGTAACATTTGTATGGATTTTACCATAAAATATCTAAAATAATCTACATAAATCTAAAATAATTTATATAATACTTTTATTAGTGAAAAATATAAGATTTCTCATTTTAGTTTAAATACACAAAATCTTATTAAATTAGTCATTGTATTTTAATTCTTATCATCGTACATGGATGATAAATCCTTTTCATCATATTGATCTGTGAAGCATATTTTAAATTTAGTTATCATACATGTATAGAACATTCATAATTGGGTTCCTATACGTAAGGGACATAATTGAGTTCCTATATGGAAGGGACAAAAATAGTGATAATGATCAATGTTTTTAAAATTTAACGGAATCGGTAGAAAAATGGACTCAGATTTAAAAATTTAATTTGGGATTAAACCTAAAATAATATTTTTTATTAAAAAAATAAAAATAAATTTTTTAATAAAAATGATAGAGAATAATAAATTAATAATTATTCTCTCCATATATATATAAAGAATTTGTAAGGTTACAAGGATCACATACCAAATCGATATTATATTTATATATTTTACACTAACATTAAGTATATATTTTTTGTCCTGTCATGATCTTCCATCTCACTAAATGTTTTGCACATGACAAAATTGAGCACAGATTCATTGCTAAAAGATAGTTTTTGTTAACACTATATAATAATTATAAGGACTTCAGATTGGTCTATGGCATGCCCTAACCGTCCTTGAACTGTGGGATTGTGTGACGATATGATTGAGATAAATAAAAAAGATAGCAAGAGATTAGAAAACGTGCCTTTTGCCTTTTCATCACCACCAAGAGATCCAAGTTCACACGTCATGTGGCCATTCAAGTTCACAAAGTCACAAGATTACGTTTTGATTTGAAATTTGAAGGGTAAAGAACCCTTATCTACGTGACACTTTCCCATATTCTTCCCTTTCATTTCATGCCTACGTACAATTTTGTTCCGTAAGGCGTCTTGTCTCCTAAGAGGGTGCCTTAATTATGTACGTAGTTTACTCTTCTTCACTCTCAAATGGTCAGAGAAACCACACCACATCACCCTCTTTCTTTTTTTTCCGCATCAATTCTTTCAAATTTGTCTCCACTACGATCATGATCTTCCAACACAAAAATATGTTTTTCATTTCAAAACCCTTTTTCTATTTGATTTGGTATGGTGGTCAAATATTTTAAGATTCATGCATGATCATGGAGTAGTGAAAGGTTGTAGATCATTATTATAAAGTAAGGATAACTGTTTCCATATATACCTGAAAATATATACATATATTTAAGTTTAAGCTTTGTTTGGGGAAGAAAATTCGTTTAGATTGATCACCCACTTATGAAAATAACAGCAAAATTAACTTATATACGTGTATAATATTGTATACATAAAAATAAATATAAAAAATAGGTTTTAAAAAATGAAAATTCTTAAGTTTTTTTTTCCATGTCAAGAAAATAAATAATGATTATGTCTCTTTATATACTTAATTATATTTTAAAAATTTTAAATATTATTTTTATTTTAATTATTATTATATTAATTAAATAAAAAATATTAAAATAATAAATAAATTTATTTAAAATTAATAAAAAAAATATTTTAATTGATATTAATCTCATCTGTCTATTAATTTTTTTTTTCACTTTTCACCCTCTTTATTCTAATTCAAACAACCATCTTTTGCTATGTTTCTCTTGTTTTTTTCACTCATTCAAATAAACTATTTAATCTAAACACAATCGAGCAATGTAGTAAAACAAACTAAACGTGTTTATTCTAATTTTCAAGTGACTTAAAATTTTGAACAAAAAAAATTATTCAAATTCCGGTTAAAGTCCATAGAGTTCTAATATGAATGTTACACAATCAAAATTAATTTATTTTTTATAACATAAAGAAATTCAAAACAGAACTTAAATGTATTAAAACTATTGATAAAGTCAATTTTCAAAATTCGAATCCATTCAAATGAATTTAAAGTTGAACTAGATTAACAAATGAAGATGGATGATGATCATGATCATGATCCCTACTTTAAAAAAACAAAAGTTGTAACCCAAGCAACATATAATAATATAAGAAGATAATTTTCAGCATAGGCATAATTTTATACTCCAATCATATAACTTGTTTGCTACTTTAGTGACCCCTTATAATGAAAAGAATGATACGCCATCCATGCAATTCATGCAAAACTAGTGATGATTCCCAAAATCATCTGGGTTGATTATAATATATCAAATTGTGTCATGATTACATACTTTTTTGATGAAAGAGATCCAATGAACAATTTCTTATATTATAAGAATCCGGCCAAAATATCTTAATATTTTGTTGATCTGAGTTAATATGGATGACGAACAAATATCCGTTGAAAGGGCATCAACATGCATCATGTTATAGTTAATGGCTAATGGGAGGATTATTCATTATATATATGACCTTTCTGAACACTCAAGGTAGACTAGAGTAGCTAGGTAGCATCTTATCATTATAATTTTAGGTCAACCCCATAATAGAGGCCAACTAAGTACTTCATATCTTACCACTTGGCATCATATGTTAGCTTTGTATCATTTTGAATCCAGGTGGTCCAACAGCTGACACATTCATTCATTCATTTTTATTTTTTTTTAGTAATTTAGGCATCTTTTGCTGAGCTGGATCAGCAACCTCACAATCTGCTATTATATAGATAGATAATGCAAATATGTTTGTTAAGTACATTGAAGTCTACTGATTAAGATGGATTTACTGTAGTTAGAGATATTGCGCAAATGAATGAATGATCTTAGAGTAGACAAGAAAACATGCTTTAGCTAATCAATGAACTTCGAAACTTCTTCAAACTTTGAATACAACAAGTTTGGAGACACAACTCATGTTATTCGTTACATTACTCTTCAATGCGTGTAATGTTATCTTTGCAACGGATTAAAATAACAGAACTCTCTGTTTGTGTCTGAGAGAATTTTTTTTTTTAATTTATTCTACATCATAATAAATGCATATTTATGTAAATTAATTGAATAATAGGGGAAAAGTAAGAACACTTACATATAAACACTTTTTTTTTTTTTAAGAATCAATAGTTAAAAAAATAGCGGGATATATTGAAAAAAAAATCCATTTCTCATAAATTTTAAAATGTTATCAAGTGATAACCCATGTTACACAATCAGTAGTCCTGACATGGCTACTGGTAGTCATGTTGTTGAAAACTACCTAAAAATTATTTATATTTCTAAAATGAACAATTAAACATAAAAATAAAACAAGAAGAACACCATGTTTAACTTAGAAAACTTCTCATTATAAAAAGGAAATGATAAAAATTAGGTCTTGAGATCTAAACAAAGTTCTCATGAAATGATAAATGTCAATCGTCCATGTAGGATTCACATGCAATAATGATTTTCAATTATAATCGTAATTGTTAGTCTTCAAAAAATTATGTTATATCATGAAGATGATTCTTAATTATAATTGTCATGGTATGTATTATATATAATAAAATAATCCTTCTCTCATTTATATAGATTCAAATACAATATTATTTATAAATAACTTTGAGGATTTAAAAAATTCCCTAGCTCTCATTCATAAAGTTCTTAATATAAAATGATTTAGATTGCTTCTTATGTTTATAATACCTTACAAGTCTTCCTTTATATAAAAATGTAATATTTGACTATAGACAAGAAAATAGAAACAGCTACTCAAAAAATGGGAACAGATAGACTATAAATAATTAATGGGACTTGAAAATAATCATGATTATTAATGTGACAAGAAAAAAATAGGTATCCAATATTTAATTAAAATTAGAGTGATATTTGAAAGATTTGTTGAATTAGTTATAGGATTCGGTCCATTAGAACAACAAGGACAAATTGAAAAATTATTTTCGTATTAACATAGATATGTAATTAAGATAAAGGTGTTGATATTTGGGTCTCCAATTAGAGAATTGATGGACACAAATTACCTTAATAATATCCGAATTTAAGATATTGAGTAAAATAGTAAGAGATATGAGTGAAGCAAGATTATATTTTTATCTCATGGTGGCGGGTGGCAATATTTTATTTAAGAATAAGAGTGTTTTGATTTCATGTCGACTATAATAACATTGTTATAGTAAATTTTTATGAAGTATGGTTCATTTTAGAGTTTTATTCTGTCACAATTTTATATTTAAAAGACACTTCGGTGAATTAAGAAATAAGGGTATGTATAAATTATATTTAACCTCAACTTCTAAATGATATGTAACTCATGAGCATACCGAAATAATCAAATATTGTTGCACAAAATTACAATAATAAATAAGTTAAGATAAGTCGATATAGATAATTGTCTCTTTAAAATCTATTTAACTGAACTTTACTAAATATTGAAAAAAATATTCACATCCAAGATCCTTCTCTTGTTTAAGTAAGTGTAAAAAAACAATAATAAAAATGAGAATCAGATTATTTATAAATAATAATAATAATAAAACAATTCTATTTATAAGTATGTTGTTAGATATTTTAAATAATAAATTATAACGATTTAATTAAATCAGGTAAACATGTAGACGATAAATCTTATCTACAATTTTTAGAAATCTTTAGATATAAAAATATTTGAAATAAAGTAGCGCTCATATCCACAATTTAATTAACGGTGTTTTTTCAACCAACTCAATTTGACTTAGGTAGTTCCTTTCTCTTTTCTAAATAATAATACACACATTTTCATTGCAACTGCATATGGAACTACTACGTGCACGAATGTCATATGTAAAACATTTTTGGGTAACAAATCTAATCATTTTCTCATTTTGGTGTCCTTAAATAGATAATAAGAATAACTCAAGTTATTTTTCAAATTCCTGTCTATTTTGAAACATTGTTGAAGTAATTTGGAAGGAGTTATTATTAGATGTCTTATAATTATTTTACAACAACAACTAAAGAAAAAAATATCAAAATTATATTAAGTTTCTTTAATTTATTTAACTTATTCGAAAAAGTTTCTAATACATATCTGTTTATATTTTAAGTACCAATAAATATTTAAAAATTAAATAAATAATAAGTCATAAAATTATGGTTTCAGCTTCTAAAAGAATATTTATTTATAATTAGTCTCATATTGATTATTTACCTATTTTTAAATATTTTTAGATTTTTTTATATCTCTCAACTTCTTTTTATCATAATAATTTATATATTCCGATACTATCATATATTGAGTCTAGTTTCAGTATAATTTATAATTTTAAATTTAAATATTTAGAAAAAAATATAAAAAACGTTTCGAAGGTTATAATAGAAAAAAACTGCTGATATTTTTTTTATATTAGAAGAATTTATTTTTGAGGTTAAAAATAGATGATATACATATTTTGTCTTAATCATTAACATAAAATCATAATAAACTAAAATTTTAAAACAAATATTTTATACATAAACATTAATTTACTCTAATAATATTAAAACACTTTCGTTCTTAATAATAATGATAATAAAATAAAAAAAATGAACTAAATTATTTAATATATTAAATTCCAAATTTAACACAGAAAAAAATCCTTAAAACAAAAATAGTTTATATACTGAAAACATAAAATTATTTAAAAAGAAAAAAGAAAAAAGTTTGATAAGAGTGTAACGACTCATAAGCAATCATAATCGAAATTAGAGTTAGAAGAGATTGATATGATAGAATATAAGGGAAGCATTCACCGTACAAGTGAAAAAAGAATCTGGAGTAGATTCTATAAGAAAGATTCTGTAAGAAAGATTGTATATTATTTTCTTAATTTCTTAGTTGACTTCTCGATTGTGTTGTGTATATAAACTTATTAGTACTTGCTGCACCAATGCTCAAGAACATCACAAGATTCCTCGACCAAAAGCGCACTCCAACAAAGAATAGTGTCATTAATTTATGCCACCCTCAACTTTATATTTTTGTACACACATTTTCTTCTTCTCAACATTCAATAACCCAACCTCTAGTTTCATGCCAATTCTTTTTTCTCGTAAAAGTAACCTTTTATTAGTAAAAATAAAAAAAATGTAATCTATGTGTTATAAGATTTCTTTTCTCATTTTCTTATAGTATTTTATACTATTACATTACAATTCTCATAGTTCCTTTCACTTCTTCTATGTCTGTCTTCTTCCTTGCTTTAATTTGTTAGCCGAGGTAAGTCTTTTCAATGGTTCACTTCTAAAAATCGCAAAACCTGTCTGAATATTTCATGCACGAAAGGTGTTGGTGGACATAGTAGGGTCATTGATCTTGAAGGTGTGCTCCATTTGAAGTTGTGTAAACACTGTTTTGGTGTTTGCGATGGTGACGTTAGAGAATTTGGTGACATGAGGTGGTGCCACTTGCGACCATAGGGCTGAAGAATGTGGTGATTACCAAAGCGTGACCTAATTATTAAAAAAATCATAAAAAAAATTGATATTAATTTTTTAGATCGATTAAAATCATAATCAATATAACAAAATTATTGATTATCTCAATTAAATATTAATTAACATAAGAAATATAATCTTTTTGTATCACTTATATTTATATTAATTGTAAAATTGATATAAATAAATTAAAATAAAAATTATAAAAAAATATTTATTCTACCATCATATATGGAATAAAAAAAGTGATGATTAAAATTAAGAATAAATTTTTAATTCTGAATGTTTTCTCGTTATATATTTATTTATTTATTTATTAAGAAACCTAAATAAATTTTTTGAAACATCTTATCATTGGAATATTAACAAATTCAAATGATTTTTTTTTCGTTTGAAAATTCCCTCTTTACCTATGTCTCCTTAAATTCAAAGAGCCCTCTGTCTTTTCTTCTCTTTGAGAATGGTTAAATATTTATTATGAAAAACAATCTCATATAAAAATATATATTGTAATTTTTTTTATGATTATTGTTATATTTGTAACTTTTATTTCTCTTATATATAAATCACAATTGTTATTGTGTTTTTAACAAGTATAAACAACCTTAAAAAAATATAATTATATATTTTATTAATTAATAATTAAACTTTAAATATATAATATTATATTTAAATTTAATAATCTGTTTTGTTCCATTTAGTTTGATTCTTATTTTTAATCTCAAATTTGAATCAAATAATCTGATTTAGAAAAAAAAAGTAAATTTAAAAAATCCAATAACAATTTGGTTCTTTTATCAGTTTTTTATTCTTCAATTGATTTTCAGTTATTTTTTAGACCGGTTTGATTATAAACACCTTATTTTCACTTGAAGTTTGGTAATTGCATCAAAATTTCTTTGTTATGTTCATGTATATTAATTCTTTATTTCATCATTTTTTTAATTTAATATTAAAATAAATTATTATTTTAGATAATTAGATTATAAAAAATAATAAAAAATATAAAAAATAAGTCTCTGACTCTTAATCTTTCTTAAAATAAGTTAATCTCACAATTATAATATTTATTTTGATATATCACTAGATTAAATCTAGAAGTTAAATATTTAAATTATCTGAATATTTGTACATATAATAAATATAACATGATTTTTTTAATACGTAGTATATCATAATCACTATGATTAACGAAATTTAGTATTTATAAGAAATCTTACAAAGCACTTATTCATGGGTTTGACAAAAGTGAAACAAGTTATCTAAAATGTAGTGTTTATAAAAAATTATTGAAGATGAGTATGAAAAATTGCCAAAGCTTACATCTATACATTATTACATTATAATAAACATTACATGGTGATTAAAATATATGTAATTTTTTTTTTAAATATTACATGTCAACTTAAAAAGATTAAGTATTACGTATCTTTCAAGTAGAACTATATAACATGCAAATAAATGAGTTGACTATTATTAAGAGTCAACCACATTATTTTATATATTTTTCAACATATAAAATTGTAAACAAAAATAAAAAATTATGGAAATCTAATCAGATGACACCTGATGATTGACTTTTATGAACAGCATTGACATTTTATGTTTCCCGTTACCTGCATGTACACCATTATACTATTTGTGCAGAGTCTAATCAGATAACACCTGACCAAAGTTTTTTTTTTTTAAACAAATAAATTAGGACTAGATCAACACAAAATTGATAATTTAATATCAAAATAATAAACTGAATTGCATCAAAATTAAAAAGAAGCTAAAAGAGAAAGAATCTACTACAAAAGTATTAAAAAACAAATTAACATTTACTGTGTAGGATAAAATGAATTGTCATTACTGAAATTTGAAAACAAGGTCATACGAAGAAATTGTTCTTCATTTGAGAAAGAAATTACTGGACTTGAATTGATTAAATTTTTAAAAATAGTTATTTGTTGGTGATGTGCATCATGTTCAATCCTTGTCATTTAGGCACTATTATATGAAAGATTAGAGGAGGTGCCATTTGGAATTAGGACACTTTGGTGATAAACATGAACTGTATCTTTCAGCAGAGACATTCAAAGATAATTTCATTTAATAGGAATCTTTTCCATCATAACAATATTATATCTATCATATTCAACTATAGTTTATGTTAACTTTAAACATAATTAATATTCTCTTAAATGTGTCTTACTCATTCTCAATCCTTAAAGGCTCGTTGACTTTAAGAACATCCTCCAAACAAGGTTTCATGTTTTCAAGTTTGATCTTTTCTTTTTGTAGTTTGATATCTCGTAAAATGTCTACTTCACAACCTTCTTTATGTTATCATCTTGCTGACAAAAATTATGATAAATTAAGTAGTGCTGTTGTTTGATGCTAGAAGAAGCACTACAACAATTTTAAAAATAAGTAAATATGACTCTAAAAACCAAGTGATAATAAAACCTATTTGCACTTTAAATTGTTGGTCCAATAACTTCGTCACCAACCAAATGGTTAAAAGTGGTTAAATTCAAAAACAAAATTATCCTCTCATGTTCTTATAAGGATTATATAAATATTATACGTGTCTTCTTAAAAAAAGATATTCTTTTTCAACATTCAAGATAATTATAAAACGAAACTAATAATGAAACACTAAAAATATGAAGCATCAAAATCAAACACAAGCAAAGTCAATATATTGTAAAAGTATATACTTGTCCTTCAACATAAGCTCCTTAGAAAAGGAATATTGAGGAATGAAGGCAGAATTATATAAGCTACCCAATGTTTCCATGAACTTGATCCCAGGTTATAAGAAAATAAAAGAAAGAGAAAGAAAATGGAGGGTGTGAATATTTTGATTTGCAACAAAAATAGTGTTATGATTAGTGTGAAATAATAATGAAAGCAACAGAGCTAAGCAAAGAGGGATTGAAGATTGTGTCCCCCCCTCTCCCCCCAAATAAAAATGTCTTACTGGTGACTCTTCATGAGAATCTGTTACCCCCATTAAATCAATGTGCAACTTGATATGCAACTTGCAGTGTCCTTTTGCTTTGAAAATCTGAATGTGCATAAATTCCTCTGCTTATCTGCACAAAAGTACCCGTCCCATTTTGTGCTTAACTAATGGTTTTTATTTTTTGTTGCATCTTATTCTATTTAATAGTAAAAGACCACATCATGTCCACCAAAAGTTCTGGTCAGTGTCAAGGCCAGTGCCAAAAGGCACAAATTCACAAACCAACATAGTGTTATGCAATAACCATATACTTATGTTTTCTCAATTATAAATATAGTTTTAAACCTATTTATTGTTTTCTTTACAGTTTTATGAATTTAACAAATTTTTATGATAAATGAGTGCTAGTATTTTGATAGCTGATAGACTAGTATCTGATTCTGCACAGATACTAATTTTTAATCGTTAAGAAGAAAGAAAAAGAAAAAGCAGAAATTAACAGAGAAGGCACAAGAAGCATAAAAGAAGGAGAGGAGACCAAGTGTGGCCACAAATGCTGCCGGCGTAGGGCAAATGTTGTCCTACCCTTGAGTGAGTTTGACTTGAAATTCAAATTCTAAACATTTTTAATACCCCAAAATACAATCTTTACTCAAAGTGAGCTTACCTTGTACTTGTTAACTCGACGACAAATTTGCACCAGTTGAGCATTAAAACATATAGATTTGCACATATCCATTTAATGTGGTCCTTGAAGAAATAGAAACTCTTGATATATGAATTAGTCAAACTCTGCCCCATGAATGAGTGATCTTGTGATCTGAATTGCTAGTGACTCCACGTTTGTTATGATCCCCATCTTATTTTAGGCAAACAATATTTGATAGTTGAGATCTTTCCTAGTACAATGCCAACGGGGAGAGGTGTACTTTTTCTTTTATTTTATTTTGTCCCATGTATAAGTAGAAGGAGAGGAAAAAGTTGAAGTAACAGAAGTAGCAAGTTTTCATGGTGAGGATCATGAAATTAATTCTTGACAGTGAAACCAACTTCAGTCTCTATCTATGCAATCCAGAAATAAATAAAAACTGATGGTCACTTGGAAACAGCTAAAAGGGACTTGTTTTAAAATGTTGCCTAATCAAGTCCTAAAAACAACTCTTCATAATTAATTTCTTTGACTAAACCTCTTACTTATAATAATGTCTCAATTAGGTATAGGTTGAAGTGCCATTGCTGTGCAATGATAGGACCAAAGATCTTAGTTTAGTAACAAGGAACCAAAGACAGCTAGCTAAACTTTGCTTCAATTTATGTGGGGTGAGAAATTGCTTTATTTTATATCCATTGATGCATTAAAGGTACAACAATGTGCAATTCATTTCAAAAATAACAGGCAGCCTGTCTGCTATGCATAAATAGAAGCTCCTAATTCTGAAGTCAATGTCAAATTTCAATTCATCAACAAATTCTTATTCTTCACAATAAATCTAGTTATGGATATTTTACATTAGATACATAAAATAAAATTATAATACATAATTATAGTTCTGTAGGGTTAAGATAGGTTGAAGATTTTAATAAATTTTTCGCTTTAATTTTAAAAAACTCCAAATAGAGTAGGCAGCCAGTTGTGGCTTTTATAATGACTTCTTAGGGAGAATATGAACAAAGGGAGAGAAAGGAAAAAAGGTGAATGTATTGAGGTAGAAAATAGAGGAAACACACAAGTCAGTAAGAAGCATAAATCATGAAATGAGGGTCTCTTCTCTTCTCTTCTGTGTAAAGCTGAACAAAAAAGGTACGATACAGAAATAATGGTTACTCCTCATGGACACCACATTTTCTTACTTCCCATGACAATGACATTCAATGCCCTGCAAAATGTAATTGAATTTTACTGGAAATAGCAGAAGTCCTTAGAGGAGAGGCATAAGCACCAGTGAATTTCCTGAGAGCAAAACTTAAATGCAGTTTCTAAAATGTTTTTGAATATTGTTTCTGACCTGAACTAGAGTTTCACATCAGTAATTTATAATCATTTTTAATGTTACGTTTTTTTTTTTTTTATGTAAATTACTGAGATGAAACTCTAATTCCAATTTAAAAATAGCACAAAAAACAAGTAAGTAACTGCATCTAATGTTATCTAAAATTCATAAAATGAAAATGTTATCCTCTGTCTCTACCCTACTGCCCTATACAGTTAAAAGACAAATTTATGAGATATTTTATCCCCCTCTCATCAGTTTTTGTTTTTCTCTTTAAGGTGGTTGATGAATTAAACCAATCACTGTTCATTTTCATCAGAGTCGGCTAATAATGCCAAAGAATCTTCCTTGTTTTCAAGTTTGAGTGGCTTCTCTGGATCAACCTCATGGTTGTGATCGTCAACACTAGAAGCTCCTCCCATTCCTGTGAGTTTCTTGGCTCTTTGGGCCTCAAATTCCCAATCAGTTCTGCACAGAACCACCAACATGGTCACTGCACAAGACCCTTGAGCTGCAAGAAGGCCAAGCCAGAGACCTTGAAAATCATAGCCAGTGAAGAAAGCTAGCCAAATCGACACAGGCATTCCCACAAGGTAGAAACATCCCAAGTTGATGTTAGCCCCAACTTTAGGCCTTGCTGTGCCTCTCAGCACCCCACACCCTGTTGTTTGAGGGCAATTCCCAAGCTCACAAAGGCCGATTATGGGTAACACCATAGATGTCAAACTTATAATCTCTTTGTCCTTTGTGAACATGGTAGCCCATGTGTTCCTGACCATGAGAGCAAAAACCAATGCCAGGACACCTGACATGAAACTGCAAGACAACCCCACAATGGCAGAAAGCCTTGCCTTTGCAGGCTTCTGTGCCCCAAGCTTGTTGCCAACTCTTGTTGACACACTGAAGCTCAATGAAGAAGGGAAAATGTAAAGCAAAGAAGTGGTTTGGATCAGAAGCCCCATTGAAGCCACAGTTGCCCTGGGGTTCACCAACAGCCCACATAACAAAATCATGATCTCATACCACCACCACTCCAAGCACACTGAAACACAGCTTGGAATGGCCAAATTGAGAAGAGACTTCCACTGTGTGAAGCACTCAAAAGAGAAACCACCCCATGTTTTCTTATGAGTGCCAGAGAAGACTATATAAAGAATCAAAGAAGCCACAAGGTTGAAGTTTGTCCACACCCCACCAAGAGCCACCCCTTTGATTCCCAGCTTGAGGTGAGCCACAAGGAAGTAGTTGATGGGTATGTGAAGGAGAATTGACAAGGAGGCACAAAGGGTGAGAGGGAGAGTAATGGATTGGGTCCTAAGGTAAATTCTCAAAGGATGTAAGAATGATTGTGCTATGAGGTCAGGAATGGAGTAAACAAGATATGATTGGGCCTGTGTGGCTATGGCCTCATCTTGGCCACAAAGGAGAAGAATTTTCTTCATGTGGAGCCAAAGGAGTGATATGGGGAGGGAAGTGAAGAGGAGAAGGAGAATGGTTCTTTGCAAGCAAAGTCCAAGGAGCTTGAACCTCTTGGCACCGAAAGCTTGGCCACAGATTGGTTCCATTCCTACAGCAAGACCAGAGAGGATTGAGTAGCCAGTGATGTTGGCAAAGCCAACCGCTAGTGAGCCACCAGCCAAAGCAAGCTCTCCAAGGTGGCCAAGGAAGAGCATGGAGATCATGGAGCGGCAGTATAGGAGAAGGCCAGTGAGGATCATAGGGATGGCTATTTTGGATATGGAAATCAATTCATTGATGGTGTCAGGGAGATGGGATTTTTCCGTTTTTGTTATAGCTTTTGTTGTTGGTGGTGGTGGCGGAGGTGTTTTGGTTGTTGTTGTATTGTTAAGTTGAGGTAGTGGTGGTGGCGGTGTTATGTTGTCGTTTTGGAGTTTGGAAATGAAAGGGTTGGTGAGCATGCTGGGGTGCTGCTCTTCTGAGTCCTTGATTGGAATTGGGCAATCAGGAGGTGAAGTCGTGCAGCATTTGCAGGTGACGTCAAGAGTTGGATGACACATGGTGTGTAGCTTACTTTGTGTCCGTGTGGAGGGGAAAAAATGGTTTTGAATAGACTTGGAACAGAGGGAGAAAGAGAGAGAAAGAAACAGAGAGAGAGAGAGAGAGAGATTTGTGGATTGAGAAGGACGGTGTTCGGAAAGGGGTTGTGTGTGGGGTTTTATAGAGTTGTTAAGAGTTATAGGTCTTGCTACTTTTCGGTGGGGTTTAAGACTTTGAATTGTCCTTAGTCCAAGAATTTCGATTCACATTCATTCATCACTTCGTTTTATCCTAGTTTCGTAACTATGTAAAAAACACACCCGAATCTACGTTTGTGTTTCACCTGTTGTTAGGTAGCCTTCTAACTTTTTTAATCTTTCCTTTTTTTCTTTTCCAAACTGAATTTATTTAACTGTTACTAAAAAAACCGAATTTTAATTAAAATGCATGTTATGTTATGTTAAGAAGAAGAATGATAATATAGCTATAAAATTATTTGATTTTAATATAATATTAATTATCTCATTAAATTTTTAAGTTAATAAAGTACTTAATTTTTATTAGCTAAATCATTAAATAATTTATATATATGTACGTGATTTTAATTGAACAAAAGTTTAATTTCATAAAAAAATGAAAAAAACATATATTTAAAGTCGTTAAGTTTATGAAATTTCCTCACTAAATAATACTCCAATCCATAGACATCATTTAATTATTCACATAACATAAAATTAATAATTTTTTTAGAAATAAAACCTATTTTATGGAATTTCAAAATGAGGATTTTATGACATGAAAGTGTGTTAATTTTTCATGTAATAATAAGTTGTCGTGCATGATATAAATATATATTAGAATAAAGAATATATTAAAAAAACTAAAAATAATGAAAATTTGAATTAAAAGCAAAGAATGTGGAATAAAATAGACGATCTGGTAAGGGAAAGACGTTAAAATAATAAAGGATTTTGAAAAAGATATAGAAGAAGGTAAAAGTAAAGAATAGAAATGTTGCGTAAAAGGAAAAAAAAAAGTGAATTTTTTTCCCTTTGGGATGGGCTAAAGCGTCCAAACATTGTCCGGCCTAAAAACATATAGAAATGCAAAGAGTTGGAGAGTATCCAGTTTGGAATGTGAAGAGTAAGATTTAGAGGTTAAAAAATTGTCAGTTTTGAGTGGAATGGAAGAATGAAGGAAGAGGAAAAGACAGACATAGATGTATAGGATGATCCAAAGGAGACAAGGTTGATCCTTGGACACAACATACAAGGAAGTAAAGAAAATCCAAAGAGGGCAATGGAGTTGATCAATGTGGATGATCCTTGATATATAAGGAGTGTTGATGATTTATTAATATATTGCTTAATTAATGCCAACCCACTCTTGTCTGCTTCATAGCTGGGCAGCTTGGGACAAAGGCACTTAAGGGTTGTTTCATGAGGCATCCAGGGATACCTCTGTGTTTTCTTGTTTTGTACTTCCCTTCTCTTAACTCTTCTCTCCAACACTCTCCCATCTTTGTCTCCACATAATTCACTTTTCCATCTATTTCTCTTTTTAACAACATTTTCTTAATTCAACTTCTTTCTCATTTTCATCTCACCAAAATGCTTCCTATAACACATGCATGTATCAATCTTCCACTCATCATCGTCAAATTCCAACTATCGATAAAAGTGAGTTAAATTTGGCTTGTGAAACCTGGTTAATGTAAATTGTTACAAGATTGGAACTTTTTGCTTACAGCATCATTGTCGGTTTGGTTCAGGAATTCAACCCCGTTTTGCATGGCTCTATCTTTAATGACCAAAATTTTGAAGCATGTGGAGCCAAAATGCTGCTTCACATATATGCCATTATTAGGTAAAGATTGTGATGGCACAATAAGAGTTAATTAACAACACAGTTTTTTTTAATATTATTTTTATTCAAATTTTGTAAAATTACCAGCGAGACTTATTATACAAGAAGTGAAAATAAAAGTATTAGACTCTAAAAGGATCACTAATTGAATTGCTTGTTCATTTTATCAATGGAATAAGAATTAATTCCAATTAATTCAAACGGGGTCGAGTAATTATTACTATTATTATTATTATTATTATTATTATTATTATTATTATTATTATTATTATTATTATTATTATTATTATTATTATTATTATTATTATTATTATTATTATTATTATTATTATTATTATTATTTTGAACGCGATCTCTAGATATTATAAATCAATATGCTTATCATGCTAACATTGGTATATTACGATTGAGTATAATTGAATATAAATAATTGTAACATTTTCGTATTATTACAAAATATATTGTCTACGAGGATCTCCATTTAAAAAAACATCATAGGAAGCAAATTCATCAATTTTAAATGATAGTTCATCTAGAACCCTTTATTTGATACTAATATTTTTTTTGTTGGTAAATATTAAAATTAAGAATATTAAGTATTTTTTGTTTGATAAATAGTACACTTAAATTTATTATTTCATGAGTAACGTCAAATGATAAAGGTCATCAACATCTTGTTAAGATTCGACTCCAACCATAGAAAGGTCTGGGATTTGTTTGATTTTATTTTAATTTTCAGTAACCAAATTAAAAAAAAATTGAAAATTAGTTAGAAAAAGATCTAATTTAATAACTCTACTGTAAAAACTGTTTTAAAGGTGAGAAAATGAGAAAGTTGTTCGATAAATTTGTTTTTTAAAACTAAAAAAAAAAAAACTCGTTTGATTGTAATTTTATATTAAGGATTTTACAAATAAATTTAGTTTTAGCGTTCATTAAATATGAATAACATTTTCTTCTTCTCTAAGGACTCTAAAGAAAACAAAATAAAAGTCTATAATTATTAGAAATTAAAAATATATATTGCATAATTTATAATAAAAAAATAAATATGAAATTAAACTCAAGTTAACAATTAATTTTCAAATTTGTAAGGTGAAAGTATCATTAAAGTAAATTTGATTTGATTACATTGTTTCTATATATTGTCATTTCAATTGTAATTTCATAATAATCTTCACAAGTTATTAAGTTATGATTGTTGGAGATTGTTGTCTCTTTTGTTAAAGATTTTTATTCATATTCTCAATTTGTTTAAGATTCGTTTCTTCTCATATTTAAAATAATTCATCATTTAAATTCCACGTTTAAATATAACTATGAATATAACATTACTTATTATTATTAATTGTTCAAAAGACTTAAAATCGAAAAAACCGGTTGAAAATTTTAGTCGAACCATTTTTTAAGAAAAATTAAATATCAATTTTTTTTAATATAATTTTTTTATAAAAGATATAATATATTTTAATTTTATTTTATCTCATATTAATTATATCAATTTTAAATAATAATTATTTTATTATGTTATGATCTTATTTTAATTATTATTCATCTTACTTTCTTTAATATATTTTATATTTATAATATTCATTATAATTTTCACTTTTTTTTTAATTTTTTTAATATATTTATATTTATAATTTTTATTAATTTATAAATATATCTTGAGCATTCTTTTATTCTAATTCTAAAGACTATGGCTTTATGAGCCTCTTTCCCAATTAACATATTACCCTCCATCCTTCCTTAAAATAACGTGAAACAAATTCTATTGAAGCTAAAAGCAATTTACAATATCTCTACTGTAAATACTGTGTCTAATTAAGAATAAAAAAATATCATAACTTTTTTTTATCCAATGTATATCCTTTGAGTAAGTTAAATATTACTTCATTTTTAACTAATTAAAATATTAATAAAAACTATATTTTCTTCATTCTAAATAAGTCAAAAACAAATTTAACATATCCATTTAATGCCTAATTTATATATTCATAGTCATTTAATGTAGATATTTGAATATTTGTTTTATTAAAAATTTATTTATTACTTATAATCATACAATATATTAATCATAATAAACTCACTTAATTCATCATCAAAATTAAAAAACAAAGCTCCATTATAGTTATAACATGTGTTACAATGACATAAGAAAAATTTACAAAAGATATAATGAAAATTACCTAAGAAACATATAATTCAATGAAATAGTAAGAAACGAGACAATACTAACATGACATAAAATTTAAAACAAACATCGTTGAAGTCTATTCAACAACAATGCTAGTATTCAATTAAGAAAAAAGACAACGATCATTTTTTTTTATATTCAAGCTTCTTGAATTATTCCATTATATTTTAACATAGATTCCTAATTTTTTTTCATTACTTTCGTATAGATATCATTTGAAACGTAATCAATCTCATTTAATATAGCATTATATGAAAGCTTAATTTTGAAATTTAAGTTTAAAGTCGTTGAATTTTATATTATAGAGGGAAACATGTCTTTCAACATATTTTCTTTTATCATTTTATCATGAATGCTATAACTATTAAGTCGGGAAAATTCTTTGAATCATTGTTTTAAATATTACTTATCGTAAAAGGTAAGCATTACTTGATATTTATAATTTCCATCCACAAATTTTAGTTTTAAAAAAACTAAAATATATACGAAAAAAAAGGGGTTTGAAAAACAGTAAATAAATAAACCCTTAACTATTAATTTTGACGTTTTAAGAGATGAAATGGATTTTGTTGCAAACTATAAACGTAGCTTGATATTCCTACATGGGCAAGGATAAATTAAGTTTGGCTTTTGTAGCCAATAATTCAATAATGGTTC